ACAATGAAGACAAATGTTATGTTAATAACAGAATGGCATTTATTTTTATCCAAGTTCCATTGATTTGAACATGAGGGGAGAGTGCTGCTCCTCACACAGCTGTCTTTGAAGAGAGACACAACAGGCAGTGCTTTTGTTCATCATTAAAAGTTATTACTTTAAAGGGCTGACTTCATAACAACTAAGAGACACCCTGTTCAGCTCATTTTAGAATAGTTCTTCCTTCTGCTGCCAACATATTTGAATATCCAAGCCTGCCCTGCTGCCTGAAGCACAACCACAGTCTTCCAAGGGCCTGTACTTCCACAGGCTCCCAGACCACCATCTTTAGCCCTACATCCACCCAGGACACATTGCAAAACCAGACAGCACAGTTGCATCACGACTTTTTGAGAACGTAACCCACAAATAGGGGCAGAAAAAGAAGTACAAAAACAGAAAGCAGCACTGGTATCATCTGAGCTAAGTTTGTGTGGAATTTCCTTTTGCAGAAAGAGCTGGGAGGGGAACAGGGCAAACCTGTTACACCAGCATGGGCAGGGAAACCTGTCCACAGCGAGAGATAGAAATGCTCCGCCAGTTCCAGGGAGATAAAGGCCAGAAATACAAGTTTTGTATTATGATGGTACATTAGAACAAACCATGCCCAAAACTATTACAAGTTATCAAAATTTCTGTGGACAGAGGCTCAAGACAAAATCTAAAAAAAAAAAATAAAAATTCTAGATGTTTCAAGAACAGGATTTTCCCCTATTTTTTATATAACTGCCTTTATTGTTTAGCCTGAAACTCTCCAAGGCAGGGACTGCACTTACATTATTACTTTCAGTTGTGCAGTGCCTGAAACAACGGGGCCTGCAGCTTGGTTGGTCCCTAATTACTAATTTAATTAGCAATGACAGGAGCATTAAGAGCCCTTTATGCCAAAGCTGATGCTGGAAAGCTCAGTAGGTTCCAGTCTCAAAAAATAACTAAAAATTACACTTAGAAGTTACATTATCTAGCACTTCTCCACTGAGTTTGCACAATCCATATCTGAGCCACAGAAGCTGGGTAGGAATTTTCCCTCAGCCAGGCTGAGAACAAGACCATGCAGATCTGTTATCCAGATATGGGCCTATTCCTGTAAATTCTCTGTTTATCTCTCCTGTTGTTATGATTCAGAACACTCCCAGATTCAGCTCCAAAACCCCACTAGAAGCAATTCCATTTTTAGAAAGCCAGGACTTTGTTTACTAAACCCCAATCCCCCTTGAAAACGGCCAGATTCACTGCTAAATTATTGAGAAACCATATATAGTAGATAAAATAAATCCGTAAACTATGGTTCAGTCTAAACCATTTTACTCTGTGTTTGTTTACTTATGCAAAGCAAGAAAAATCACAACTCTGAGAGCATGGACAAGCACTTCCAGTTTCCAGGATATAGCAGGAAGAGGACGTACCTTTCCCCCCAGAGTTATCACCCTTACAGCTGCTTCCCTTTGATTTAACAATTCTACCCAAATTATCCACTTCCAAGATAAAGAACATGGATGTTGCTTGTAACCTCTCATACACTGAGACTGAAACAGCACCAGGAAAGGAAGAGGACACACCTTTCCTAGAGGCCATCATCATCATCATCACAGCTGTTTCCTCTCTGCTGTTCCAACACTACACAGATCACTCAGACACACAACAAGGGACCTCAGTGCTCTTTAATGCCCCATCAGGGCCCAGAGGAGCCTGATCAAAACCTGATAAATACTTGATAAACCCTAATGGCCCTGGCCAACTTCACCTGGGGCCCCCACCCACACCCTCTGCCCATGGATCAAGGAGCTTCATTTAAACTCTGGCCTGAAAGCCCAGTTGCTTTGCCCAGTGTTTTAGGGGGTCCCAGTTCCAGCTCAGGCTATGCCTGGCTGCAGATCCTGTTGACATGCAGCCTAGCTCACATCTGACCTTATCTCAGACCTGCCTTGTCCCTGTCCAGGCATCATGAGACCATGACTGACTTTGGTTACCATCACCCAAACTGCAGATGGACTTCCCAACTCAGCCTCACCCCTGTCTCATTGCTCTGAACTCAGCAGATCACTTCGATTTTGGCTGCTTCCAGCTCTGACCCCTGGGCTGCTCCTCTCTCTTACCCCAGGGACTGGATCTTGGGTGGCTCCTGCCCTGGGTCTGTGTTATCTTGGTCACCTCCCCACTCCACGACTGTACCCTGGCTCACAAAACATGTTAACAAAATGGCAATCTGGTTAATTCTGTTCTGAGCTGTACCTGCAGACTGCTCCTCCATTATGATTTTCTGACAATGCTGATTCCTTCCATCCAACCTCGATAGCTGTCCATGATACACTTAAAAAAACCCACAAAAAACAAACAAACAAAAAAAAAATCCTGTGAAGAGTTCTAATTATAGGTTTAGTTACAATTAAGGAGTAAAGAAAAAAGATGTCCAGGCTAAAAATAACAGCATATACTGGAAACAGCAGACTTACAGCAAAATGATCTTGTGCGGAAGCTACAATGAAACACATTGATATCACAATGAAAGATATTGTTACAGCTTATTAATGGCAGTCAGAAGCTGCTTTGTATCTTGATAGAGATTTAAAGAAGAAATATACATCTTTTAGCATACAAATTCTTAGAAAAATGCATAGCCAAAGAAAGTAAACATGTTATAAATTCTGTTTTTTGTTCATTTTGTATAGGTAATTGGGAAACTTACAGTTACTACAATATCCTAATGGTGAAGAAACATTGAAAAAACAATAAAGAGCTTCAGAAAAATTGCATTCTGTTGCATAAAAATCCCTGATTACTAGGGATCATCTTCAGACTAAGGATGATTCTTCTTCTGAAGGGAGCTCCGAAAAGAAGCATCCTCAGACTAAAAAAGACTCTGCAGCTGAACCAAATCCCAGAATTATAGGGGAATTTCTTGACCACTCAAGCAGTCAAAGTGTGCCTGATACTTGTTAGTGGAGCCAGGCACGACAGCCTGTGCTGCAGCTGTGGTTGCAAGCAGCTGTTTTTCAGGAGTCAAAACTCCCCAGTTTTCCCAGGTGGTCAGTGCACAGGTATTATAATAATTACAATCCTTAAAAAACCCAAAAAAACCCCAGCAACCCCCTACCCAATTCCAAGAAAATATCTAACCGGAGATTTTTAGAATAAATCATGCGATGTTTGTAGGTCCGTGGGGGTTTTTTGCAACCTGGGTTGTAGCTCCGTGTAGTGCAAGGGCTGATGCTGCCAGGACATCTAGTGGCACACATACGTACTGCCCAGAGAAAGCACATTACTAGAAAAACAATTTTTTTTTTTTTTCATGCTTCCAGATATTTCTTGGTACTACTCCAGGCTTCTTTGGCTGTTGCTGAGATTTCACCTAAGAATATACAAGGGGGAAATGAAATTGTGAGAAAAAATCTACAGGACCATGTGAATCATCTCTCCAAATAAAGATGGGACACACTACACAATCTTGATAAAATAAAGGTCAAGGCCGTTGATTTTTCCTCTCCCTTTTCACCCTCACTTGCCTAATCCAGTCCAGTTGTTTATCTGCCTCTAGACAATAGAACTTGCACAGCTGTTACTCCACACACTGAAAGGGGAAATCAGAATGTCTGAGTTTTGGGAGCTGAAAACACAAGGCTCCTCACTGAAAAATTAGGTTTATTGACATTGATGGCTTCCCATTGCATAGTCTTTCCATTTTCTTTTTTTTAGCAATGTGCCAACCAAAAAAGCCATTTTAATTGCCCCTATTCATGTTCACTTTGCTTCTTGTGTTACTCTCATTTTGAGCAACAAGTCATGGAAACCAGGCCCAATCTGCTTTTTGTTTTACTAGTAAATGTGATTATAACTACTAGTTTAAATAGGTGCAAAATGGTTTAAATATGTGCAAAACTAATCCTGTAAAGAAGCAGAAATCTCTTTGTTTGTTACATATTTTTCTGGCCATACTCAACATCAATACTTTAACCCTGGCTTTAAATAGAAAAGCAATTTTCCTGTTGTTTGGACTACCTGATGTTCAGACGTCTGCTGTTGCCATAGCTCCCAGGAAGAAGCTGGAACTTGCTGGTAGATCCACGGTTGAGCTGGAAACAACCACTTCAGCCCTCCCTGTAAACAACCATCCCACATCTCCCTGCGGACGATGCTGCAGGGCTGAGGTAGGAAGAGCTTCAGTCTTTTTTTGGGTTTTTTTTTGGTGTCACCCCACAGAGGCTGGTCTGGGGGAGGCTCAGGGGGTTCCTTTTGGTCAGTGCCCCCCTCTGAGCCCCATGGCCATGGGGGGGACCCACCAGTCAGGGGGGACCCCACTGCCAAGGGGGTCCCAGGGCTGAGGAGGGACCCACCACAGGGCCTGCCTCACTGGGGGGCCTGATCCAACCTGGGGGGCATTGTGGGGAGCAGCCCGTGGGCATGGGGCAACCCAGCAAAGCCCAGAAGGGCTCCAGGGGGAGAAAAAGGGCGAGAAACGCCTTCCCCATGGGGAAAGGCTGAGGGAGCTGGGGATGTTCAGCCTGGAGAAGGTTGTGTGGAGAGCTCACAGCACCTTCCAGGATCTGAAGGGGCTTCAGAAGCCGGGAAGGGACTCTTTGGCAGGAACTGTAGAGACAGGACAAGGGGGAGTGGGTTCGAACTGAAAGAGGAAAAATTCAGGCTGAATATTGGGAGGAAATTCTTCCCTGGGAGAGTGGTGAGGGTCTGGCACAGGTCGCTCAGAGAAGGTGAGGCTGCTCCCCGGGAAGTGTTCAAAGCCGGGCTGGAAGGGTTTTTGGGGCACCCTGGTGTAGCGGGAGGTGTCCCTGCCCGGGCAGAGGGTGGCACTGGCTGATCCCTGAGCTCCCCCCCATCCCCAACCCCTCCATGACTCCCTGACAGGACCCGACCCCGCCCACCGCGGTCACGTGACGCGCCCCGCCCGACACGTGACTCGCCTGACCCGGAAGTGGCGCGCGGGGGACGCTGACGCTGGAACAAAGATGGCGGCCCGCGGCGCGGCGGCCGTGCTGGGGCTGCTGCTGCTGCTCCGCGCGGGCCCGGCCCGCGCCCGCGTCCATCACCTCACCCTCAAAGTAAGGTCTGCGCCGCCCCCGGCCCCGCTGGCTCGGCCCCCGGGTGCCCTGAAGGGAGCGGTGAGGCCGGCCCGGCCCTGCGCACCTCCCGCGGGCCGGGATTGGTCTCCCCATGTCTGTATCTTCATTCTGCTGCGTGTCCCGACCCTTCTTTTTCTTCGGTTCTCTCTGAGCTCACCCCCTGCGTCTCAGCCCGCCCGGGCCCCGCCGTGTTCTGCTTTTGCCGTGATCCTCCCCTCCCTCTCAGCGCATCTCCGTGGTCCCCTCCCGCTTTTCTGGCCGCCTGTTTCTCGGTCGCGGGTAAAGCGTGTGGAGGGGCCTCAGAATTGCCGTGGTTTGAAGGTGCAAGTGCTTCACGTTCCGTTAGAAGTGATGTGATAAGAGAGGGCTGAACGTGAGCTGAGGGAGAGGTTTCTGAAAGTGGATTTTGGTTGAGTTTCCTTTTAGCTGTGTACTGGCTTTCTTGTCCTGCTCACTCCGAAGGGTGTTCGGCTGCAGCTGCTTTGCACTAACCGAGCAATTATAGAGGCTGAGGAAACTGATGCTGACAGCTTTCTGTTTTGGTTCCGTAAACTGTTGGGTGTACTTTGGAGGAGTGATGCGCCATTATGTGCATGTACTTGAGAAAAGCTCGTTATTCAGGGTTGTTGAGGGGAAGTGCCGGAGGTCAGGGTGAAGATGTGCTGCTGCCTGTTGTGCTCTGTGTGAGCCGATGCACAGTTGTTGTGGGACAGAGGTGATACCTTTTAACAGCTTCTCTGGAGCTCATGGAAAGCTCTGTAAGTCTTCAGAATTTAAATTTTGCTTTGCTTGCATGCAATGTAATATTCAGTAGAAATATTGCAAGATACAATAAAGGGCTAAATTACAGGGACCTGTGCTGCTGTGCTGTTGTAGCAGTTTAGGGAGAATCCAGGACTTTGCAAAAATTCCACCTCAGGCTTTGGGATGCAATAACTGCTGGATGTGTTCATGTCTTACTTGTAGGAAATTCTTCAGACTATGTAGCTGTTTGAAGTGCCACCACATGAATGTTGTACTTCAGGAGAAGTAAACTTTTCCCTGAAGCAGTAAATTAGGAGGCTTGTGGTTATGTCATTGTTTTGAGGAATTTTTGACAGTTGAGCATTGAAGGGTTTCTCCTGAGGTGATTCTTTACCCATAAGTAGAAAACTTTCCAACTTGCCTCAAGCAAATGTTCTCAGCAGCAAGCATCATGGCTTTTAGTCCCTATAAGGGACTGCCTGGATCAATCACTAAATCCTGTTTGCCGTTTTTCCCGTTAGAGTGGGGTATGGATTTGGTTTTGCAGGTGTTTTGTGCAGGTTGCAGCACTGACTGACTGAGGGCTGTGGGAAGTAACAGTGAATTAATGCCTTTGCCCACCTGCTTTATAAACATGAGCTTTATTGTTAGAGCAATCTCTCCCTTCCTCCTTCATCCCCTGCTTTACAGCCTTTATGTAAACATCAGGCTCCAACAACTGAGTCCTTTCACGATGAAAGCTCCTTTCTGCTGTTCTTGCCAGTCTTGCTTTGCTTGCAAGTGTGCCTTGACACTGAGCCAAGCTAAAGGCCACAGTTTTGTGGGAGTGTTTGATATTAAATTTGCTCAAACAAGCTGTTTGTTACTGCTTAATTCAGAATAGCTTCATTCTTGTATCTTTGTAATTACTGTGCTAATGTGAAGCTTTTTTGTTGTCAGAAAAACAAGCCACAGTGTGAGCAGTTTCCAGTTCTAAAAATAACATTTTATCTTTATAAAAGTGTACAAAATAGTTTATATTTTTTGCAGTCGAGAAATGATTTGCTTTAATTTTGCTGTTAGACTGACCTTGCTGTAGATGCTCCTCCTTAGTAGCAATTGTTATCAGCTTCATTAGTTTAATGTAAATATGTAAAAAAACCCAAAACACCTCAACTAACAAAACCTACCCCCTACAAAAAACAAAAACCTACAAAAATTGGAAGTTAAGAAGACCAACAGAAACAATTTTCAGAGGATTCCAGAAGTAGCTGTAGGTGAAATGTTTTTCTTGATCAAAAAGAAAGCCTTTGTCAGGCATGGAATTATAGAAAAGATGCTGGTTTTCAATGGTTGCTTGTGACCTGTGCCTTTTAATGTTGATAGGTTTCAGACTTCAGTGGCTCAGGTTGAAAATACCTTTTACAATAATTCACTTAGTTTTACACAAATTATGAGCCTTCCTGTTAGTCTCACACAAATAAAATAAGATTCTTTCCAGATAAGGGTAAGCACTCTCTAGCAGGACTTTAACTGCACTGACAGTGTGATCCAAATTCCACTTAGGGTAAAATTGTAGAGAATATTTTTCTACTCATTCTGAGCTGCAGGATCATGGATTCCACTTCCCTCTAACCTTATTCAAATATTACAGGATCACTTTTTATCCTACAGGAGTGGAAGAACTGGGGAAGATTTTTATGGAAATAAGCTTGAGAACTTTGCGTATTAGTTTGACTGTAAGCTGTTAATGATGGGTCCCAGATAATTTCTTCTCAGTAGGGCAGGCTTAATTTTAAATGCATCCTATATAAATTAAATTAATATGTGTGTTAACAACTTGGATGCTGAAGTATTCACTTGTATGGGTTCACACCTTTGTTGTAAACTTAAATATTTCTGAAGTCAGTAGTAGAGTGCTTATAAATAAAAGCTGAGTTCTTTCAACCCCATTAGTAAGCCAGTGTCTTTAGGCTGTCAATATGTGGAGCAATAGATGCTCTTGTTGCTTAGTGGCAACTGGTGACAGTGTGTGTGTGGGATCATGTAAAGCTGAGGGATTTGTGAACTGAATCTGTAAACTCTAAGCACTCAGAGCTGAAATGAAACCAGGGAGGAAAGTGGTGTGTGTTGTATATTAATTATCTGCTGCTGGTGGGGACAATATCAGTAAATTAGCAGAGTAAATCACTTGAACTGAACTGAAGAGCTCTTGCAAGTGTTCTGAATTGAGCAGCTGCCTCTGGTCACATTGACAAGGTACAAAATCTTGTGGCTGGATGACACCATGTCCTCTCAGACTGACTCAAATTCTTCTCTGTCTAGATGGGGTTAAATACATCTGATGTGCCCTGTAAAGAGGCAGGAGGAATTTTCTGTACTGATTGGGAAGTCACATGGAATGCAGTGTTAGAGGAACCAGATGGGCTCTTGTTTCAAGCACGTTCCATGGCCTAGAACCCGAAGACAGCCGAGCTCTTATTAAACAAAGCATCTGCTGGAAGCCCTGTGTCACTTGACTTTTTTTCCTCTTCTGAGCATTAAGGGAACCATCTGCTTATTTGCCAGGTTAACTTGATTCTATTAGGGTGATCTTGTTACAGCTGGATTGCAGGTTAGCTGTGTCAGGATTAGTGTCCTGCTGTTACAGTGAGTGATATTTAGGAGTCAGGAACGTTTCGTGCAGAGACATCAAAATCAATACTGGGGGTAGAGGGAGAGAAAGAACTTTTTGTACTTGTATAATTCGTAGCTCAGTCTTCCAGGACTGTCTCCAGAACAGTTTGTCTTTAGCAGCTGACTTCTCTTTATAGAGTATTTTACAATCTGATTGTCTTTTCCTAGAAGAAGCAGGAGGAAGAAACATAATTTTATTTTTTTTTTAGTGCCAACTTGGCAAATGTTTTAAATTCCATTGTAAATTTGTTTTTTTATTTCTGTTGCCTTGTTTCTGCTTTTCTTCCAATTAACTACGCAGTAGGTTTGAGGGACCAACTGCAGACATTGGATGTGACCTTTTGTCATCTGATGTGGCAGCTGTGTGTGACGTCAGCTACTTTTCATGTGAAGTCCTTCATGACCTCCTTATTTAAAAAAAAAAAAAAATTAAAGCTCACTGTATTTGTATCTTTATCAGCTGCACAGGGCATGAGAAGAGATCAATTGCTATGGTTTCCTTGCCAGACTGAGAGGAAGGAAATTATTATGCAGCTGTAGAGGGAGTAGAGGAGGGAATTAGCATTTTCCTGCTAGAGAAACTAACCCAAGTAATTCTGGTTTTGGTATTTATTCTGGTTTTATTTTTCATTTATTTTATGCCAAGAATCATTTGGAGGTATGGGACTACATACAAAACTTGATTTTCATACGTAGTTTTCCAGTGTATTAATGTTTGCCTGTCCAAACACTAACCCTGCCTAACACAGATGATCTGAGGGGATGACAATGCATTTGCTAAACACTTGGCCAAACCTCAGTTTTCATTTAGATAAGATTCCCCAAAGTCACCTATTTCCTCTTCAGTCTGTGGCAATGACAGCATTCAAGCAATAGCTGTCTTGATATGTCTGCAGTCACTTTGGGGGATTTTGCTATATGTTTTTTAATCAGTGATGACAGATGTTTGTATTATTCCAGAGTTTTGCTTGCATATTTCCCAGTAGCATAGCCAGGTAGTTAGCAGAAACATGTCTGTTTAAAGTTCTTGCTGTTCAGGTTATTGGAAAAGTTGGTCCATTCCAGTGAAATAGTTGGCTACATCTGAAGGTATCCTAAAGAAATTTGCTGTTTGCATAATTAGATATTTTGCATGAATATTCAAGTGTTGATCACTCACCCTGCTTCCCCTTTACTGCAGCAGATGACTCTGCATGCGTTTGTAAACTTGCTTTCTTTCTAACAGGATGATGTGAGGCAGAAAGTGCACCTGAATACCTTTGGCTTCTTCAAGGATGGTTTCATGACAGTCAACGTCAGCAGCCTTTCCCTGAAGCCAGCATTCGGCTCTGATGACATGGACAGTTTATCAGTGAGTTCCTTCCTGTGAAGCCTCCTGTGAAATTGCCCTTGCACTGGTGGCCTCCACTTGTCTGAGGTGTCAGATCCAAACTTATGATGCTGTTGGCTTTGCTCCCCAGCATGAGCTAATTATGAGGATCTGTGTATTGAGGTTTATCCCTGAGCACTCTCCATTGTGTTTTAAGGAAGAATCTTTCACTAACTGGTCCTCTGCTCAACTTGATGCACACATCTACTTGCAGTGAACATCAATTTCCTAACAGTCCTCTGTTGTGAGTTTTTTTTCACAGTGTTACATAGCAATTCAGCTTGTGATCATTGTGTCAGTAGGTTTCCAGAACACTGACAGTCTTTTTTTAACAGAACTCTAATATTACATGTTATATAGCACACTATATTAGGGGTTTTAATAGAGAGACTAAAATACTAGATTAGATAACAGACCTGAGTTCTTACTCTGCTGCACAGTTTTACCTCCTCATTGCTATAAGAGTATTAAATGTTTTTGTCAAGCAAAAACATGTGGAATAATACTGAAATAAGTTAAAATGTTCAGAGACAGAAGGTACTGCTGACTTAGTTTGGGTTTGAATCATATGTGTTTTCTTGGTGAATATAGATGAGTTTGTTACATTTGAATGTATTTTTCTGCCGAATTACTTGGTGAGAAAAATGCCTGGATTCTGCCTTAAATGTAGGTTAAATTGTTTAGAAAGCAGTATCTTTGACTCTTTCAGTAGTGGTTTGGCTTCAATTTGACAGGTTCTTCTCCATTTTCTCATAGGTGGGGTTCAGTTTGGATCGAACAAGGAATGATGTTTTTTCTACTTACCTGGTAAGACAAGTGAACTTGCTTTTCTAAGCTGGGGCATCTCTTTACCTGACTCTGGAAATTGTTGGAAGGAAAAAAGAAAAAAAAGAGGTGGGGGGACTTTAGACATGGGAGAATGTGAAGGATAATTTGGATTTAAAACTTGCTGGACTAAGAATGGTAACCTCTACCTGGACGGGAGCATATCCAGAGGGCACTTCAGAGATGTTTTGTTCATGTTGCCAGGATGAAGAAGTGGATTATTGTATCTTGAAGAAGACACCAGAACCAGATGTCTCTGTTGTAATCTTACTTCTGGAGATCCAAACTGAAGTGTGAGTAAAGAACGTACAAGACACTTTAAAGTTACATCTTTAGTTGAAGATAATGTAACACTTGAGGTTATCTTTAAGGGTTTGGAAAGCTGCTGTGCTTGTAGGTTGTTTTTTTTTAAGTGGTTACATGAGAGTTGAGGGGAGGTAAGTGTAAAAATAAAACATCTGCAGTATAAAATGCTCCAAGAATTCTTTTTGTATATTGTGGTGGTAGAGGGACAGCAGGCAAGAGCAACCTACCTTAATTGTGCTGAATGAACTTAATGAGCTTTGATGTCTTGAGTCACTTTTGCACTCAATATGCAATTTTATTGTTTGTCTTGAACTATGTTTTTTTATGGAAGTACCTTCAAGTCTGCATGGCTTTCTTTTGCAAGAACTCATGTGTGGTAATGGAGTTTCTTGTGAGATTCTGCTTACCAAAGCTGAAGAAACTTAATCTTCTTCATCTGCTCTTGTATTTCATGTAGAATGTAACACAACGATCAGTTCTGCTGTAAGTCATGATCTGGTTCTTGCCTGTTCTTTGTGGTACAAAAACCAAGTCAAGACAAGTTGATTTTCTTTTATTGGGTATATGGCTATGACAGCCTTTTTTAAAATGTTGTTTACTTTTATTTTGTAATAAGTCCTCTTTGTTTCTTTAGTGTGAAAGTACGGTTCTCTTCAGAAGCTGCTTCTATGTTACCTAAAATTTTATTTGTATCTGAGGAAAATGGTACTGCCTTAAATACCAAGCTGCTAAAAACTTCTGAACCAGGCAGTGATTCTGGTAAAAATCCTCCAAAGACCAACGAAAATACAGAAGGCAGAGGTAAGCCAGCTAAACCTGACCTGTGTGTGCTTTCACTGCTGATTACTCATTGCTGTGCATCCAGCACTGAGTTGTGGTCAGGTTCTGGGGTCCCCTGGGGCTAGAACTTACTGTACATCCTGTGTAAACCTGTGCACAGAGCTTCCTTTGTGCTGGAGTCTCCTGTGATTTGTGTTCACCAGTCCTGTTGATCCATCAGAGACACAATGAGTGTTGGAGACCTTCAGTGCCTCTGAAGAAGGGTTAACAACTTGGTTGTCTTTTGTCCGGCAAGAAGACTAAAGGGGGAATTTTATGGCCAACAAGAACTAGTTGAAGGAAGGTTAGGAGACCAATGATTTCAAGCAGTTTTTAGTAGTGGCACACAATGTCTGTTTCCCTTTACTAAGTCTTGGATGTCTGAGATAGGATATTAGGACAGAAAATAAATAAAATAAATAAGATAGCTTTCCTAAATAGGTATTGCAGTATTGTAGTAGCTCATTTGTGCAATCCAATCTCCATATTTTAAAGTTTTAAATAGTTGACAAAGTAAAACCAGGGCCAACATGATACCATTGACACCAGGTATGCTTTGAGTCAGAAGTTGGATTTGTCTTCACAAGTCCTTTCCAGCCAATATTTTTGAGTCTGTGTCTGTCTAAAGAGTTGGACTCCTATCAATTAGAAACTATGGGGAGGGAGGAGTAACTGTACCAGTAATCTTTCTAGGAGGCACAAACCTTTATCTGGCTTCCAGACCAGCAGACAAAACAATTTTATAATCTCAGCTCTAACAGGATTAGTTCACGTTATCCCTTCCTGGCAGAGTTTAGACTTCAGATCAGACTGCTGAGCAGTCTAATCTGGAGCGGTCTGAGTCTGTCTTGGCCTGTCACGTTCACAAGCTTTGATACCATTCAAGAGCTTGGACAGCTGTTGTAACTAGTCAAGAGCCAAGGATGGGTGGCACTGGAGATAACAGATCTGACAGCTATAGTTTTGGTTTCTCTGGTGTAAAAAGTGTAGCATGAGTGTGGACAGTGCACTGAAGTGTGGGAGCCAAAAGCAAAGCTCAAGTCTTGAACTTTTGCTTCCTGGTAGAAAGGGATGACCTTATGTTTGAAAAGCTTATAGGAATAGAACTTGTGAACTTGAGGAGAAGTAGAAATTGTGAACTTGATGTGCTATTCTACTGAAGGCTTCTGTCACCTCAAGTTCAGAGGAAATGCTGACATGGCAGGTCACCTATGCTTTTGTAGTTTTTTTGTTTGTATTTTTACTGGGAGCTTAGTGGAAAGCTGTGAATTTATTCCTTCCTGATGGTTAATTAGGATTTCCATATGTTTGTCAGGCCATGTATTAATGCTCAGATTGAGATTTGTCAGTGAGATTAACAGTACTCGGTCATAACATAAAAAGTGAGAGCTGTAGCTTGCATCTGGTTTAGGTCACCTGCCTCTGGTCAATCTTACCAGAGGGGTTGGAAAGATTTCTGGGGTAGGCTTTTGTAGGAGGTATAAGAGTAGAGAATCGGATCCTGGCACTTGAGGATGCATTCAGAATGAATCCTGGCTGTGGGAAGAGTCCTCTGAGAGTAAGGAGAGACTGTGAAAGAATCTGTGTTAATGATTAGCTGGGAAACTGCCACGCAGACAAGTGTAGGAAGATGTGAGTAAGGTATTGACAACGTGGTGGTTTCTGAGGATGTCTAATGCAAACACTAAATGTACCATTCATACTTTTATCTCTAGGTAAGAAGTCCAAACGAAGTACAACATCCTCCCAGGTAAGAAACTATCTGGAGTTCTCTTCCAGAAAGAACCTGGGGGGGATATTCCAGTATAATCATAGCAGAAAAGTGGAGAGTATTTGCTGTTGCTCTCAGCCTCCACTGTAAATATACATAATCCAAATTTGATTGTCTGGTTGCTGTAGCCAAATGTTTTATTTACCTGCTTAAGAAAATCTAAAGGTTTCTTTTCCTTTTCCCAGAGCATGATAGAACAAGAACATCCTGTTCACAATGACAGAGGAACTTTTTCATTTCAGGTAGGGCGTCTGTCAGTATCTGAACACAGTTCCTTCTGTGTCCTACTTTGGAAAAGTTAAAGTCTGGGATATAAATGTCTCTGATAGCAGGAGTTTGCCTGAAAATTTACTGAGCTAAGCATCACTGATAGAAGTCTTTCTTTCAAAGTTTTGGGAGCTGCTCTTAAATTTGCTTTCTTGTGGTGCTGTTCTAAATATCATGGTCTATGAGCCTCAGCATATTAAAGTTTACTGTGATGTCAGTCGTGCAGATTGCTGATAACAAATAGCTGTGACCTGACTGATGACTCAAGGGGAAGATCCTCTGTATGAAACCAGATTAATGCTTTGTTTGAACACCCTGGTTCACTTGTGATGGTTGATTACTATAAAACAAACACATTTTAAATTCTGTTATCTGACACAGATCTCATTTCCAGAGCTACCACAATTTACATAGTTGGAGGAGGAACAGAAAAACTGCAGGGCAAACATAATAAAAATTTTATGCTTTGTCATGTCAAGTATATGATATTTGTGGTTATCTCTTTGTGGTGAGCAAAGTTAAGCACTGATACTTAACAGGCTTGGATTACCAGAGTGCAAAATCCTAGATAGGTGCAATGATTTTGCATCTGGAATTCTCTTGAAACTTCCAGATGTGCTGCTACCCTCAGAACAGTTTGTTTGCTGAAGGGAACCAACTGACCTCAAATGACTGACTTCTTTCATGCTTCAGTAGAGATGAAGCAGGGTTCCTACCAAGGCAGCCCTGTTGTGAATGAGAAGAATGCTGACTTTTCTATTCCTTATTTTCAGTTCTTTTTTAACATCACCTCGGATAAACAAGAAGGTCTCTACAGCCTGTATTTCCATAAGTGTGTTGGCAAGAAAGGGCCAGCTAATGATCAGCTGCTGTTTAGTCTTGATGTGAGTATGGCTTCTAAAGGATAATTAACTTGTTAGCTTTGATTGCAACATCTAGCTTCCAGCTCCAGCTTGTAAGCAAGCACACACTCACATGAGTGCACATATGGGATGGGAAGTGATTCAGAGTTGTGTGCCAGTCTCTGCAGTGGCATTTCTGAAACAAGTGACTACTGTAAAAATAATTAAAATACTGGTTTTGCAGAAATGCCTGAAAATCTGAAGGCTGAGTGTGGGCTGGGTTCAGTCTACACAGTTGTGACCTGATGCTGTAACGAGATGGGAGCTACAACAGCTGCTTGTGTTTTGCTGCAATCAGAAGTTGCTTTTCTCTTTACGTGACTGCATATATTATACTGTTGCTGCAATGTAAATTGTTGGTCTTTAAATTCAGTGTTTTTGCTTTTTCTGGCCTAATTAAAGATGTGTTTTTATGGTGTTAGATACACATCCTAAAGGCAATATGTTCTAGCAAATATCTCATCTCTTTTGATGTACAAGGGTTTGGTCCTATGTGGTTTTGGTCATTATCAGAGCTTGGGCTTTCCCTTTTTTCCCTTTCCTGTGCTCATGCTGGTTTATAATGAGCTGGTCTGGTATGAATCCTCTCACTAACCAAAGTACCTCAGCCACATCAGCCCTGAACTGCTTTTTACACGTTTGTGTTAATGCTACTGCAAGGGAACATGGGGGTGTTAAAACTTAGCAGCCCTAACTTGACTCAGACTACTTCAGATCTGCTTCTGAAGTTGTATGTTTAGAAGAGCAGCTTCCCTGAATTGCTGTGTGTCATTTTGACCCACTGAAGTAATTGGAAAGAGAAGAAAACCTGGATGATTGATCTGCTGGAGTGTACTTAGAGATGCAGCACAGCTTCAGTACTCTATGCATTCTTTTATTGAAGTCCTAGCACATATGACTAAGCCACTTAGGGGCATAAATAGAATGCTAAATAATGCTTCTGTTTTCTCAGTCACAGGAAAACAGGCTGGCAGCCCATTGTAGATATTGTTTCTGAATCAAAGGTGGGCAAATTGTGATGTTTGGTAGAGAGAACAGCTATTCTTTGGGAAAATTACTTTGCCTTTCTGAATTGTGTTGCATAACTGAAGAATTGTTTTCCAAGGGGATTATTCTTGTGTGAATAGTTTTGCAAAATGTTTTGAGATTCTTGAGGATGAAGGGTAGATTTTGTTTTTTTTCTCTGAGACATAAGTCACCACTTCAGAAAAGCTCATGTTAAATGATTGAATTTGATTGCAAAATGCAGTTGTTAACTTGGTGCTTTAACAAAATGTTTCCTTTTTTTTTAACTGTATGCATAATGCACCTTTAATATTCAGATAGATATAACGGAAAAGAATCCTGAAAGCTACCTCTCAGCAGGTGAAATCCCACTGCCAAAACTTTACATTTCCATGGCTATCTTCTTTTTCCTGTCTGGGACTGTATGGATCCACATCCTTCGTAAACGCAGGTAATTTCAGTGTCTGTGACTAGGGGCCTACCTTGTTTGGTTTTTATTTTTCATTATTCTTCTTGTAATGCCCAATTCACAGATTTGATCACTTAAAACTCCAAATCTGGCTCAGATTTGTATGCTTAATACACAGTTTATATTTTAAAACTGCTTCAGTCAGAATTGTTGTTGCAGCCTGTTATTCTAAACTTACCAAATCTTACACTGAAAGTTCTTCAGGTAGTGTAATATATATACTGTGGCAAAAAATAGACAGGAAATTCCTGTAGTTGATGTCAAAAGGAGATGACTTTGAAAAGAAATAACGAGAAGAAATTGATCACTTTTCTTCATTTGGGAAATGGGAACTTATGGTAGTGGACAGCCATAAATATCTTGATTGTGGTTTGAAATATGTTTAGCAAATTTTCTAATAGTTAAGATATATATATATGTATGTATGTATATATATATATATATGCAGGATATTCTTATTTAATAATTTCAATTATCCTAAGCAGTAAAAATCAGGGATTTAGAACAAGAATTACTGCTCAGGATGTTGTAGAAGCTTGGACTACAGCGTTAAGGAGAATCTTTTTACATTGATGGTCAACTCAGCCTGGGAGAAACTGCTTGACACTTACAAGTTTTAAGGAAATATACTTGGAAACTGAGTTTTTTACTGTTGACTTTTTCAGTAATACTCTTCCTTCTTTTTTTTTTCTTCCCAGAAATGATGTCTTTAAGATCCACTGGCTCATGGCAGCCCTTCCTTTCACCAAATCATTGTCCTTAGTCTTCCATGCGGTGCGTACAACATCTCTGCCTGAAGTTGTTCAGCTAGGAAGTAGAAACATGGAATCCAGGACATGCTGTTAGGGAAATCTGCTTTGGAGAGAGGACAGTGGGAGGGAGAGCTGGTCTTAATACTGAAGCATTAGAACTGAACTGCAGCTCTTTGGTAGAATTGTTTGTTTTCATCACCAAATTCTTATTTAAAATACCGTTTTGATCATGGCCTGAAGTGCTGAAGCAGCAAAGGCTGGGGGTTGAATGAGTTCCACAAATTTTAATGTTTTGGCCATCTGCAGTGGGCCTGAAAGCTTGAGCTGTACTGCTGCTTCAGCTGCAGGGCTTGTAGTAAATATTAATAAATGAAAACCTTGATGAACGTTTGTAAAATTCAAGGGCAAGGAAGTATTATGGTGTATGGCAACAGACCTCACCTTATCACCTCTGAGACTTTCCATAGATAATGTCTCTGTTGAATTGTATTGACTTTCCCTTTCCACTGAAAATATCTCATGAAGAAAGGTCATGGCAAGCATTTAATCCTTCAGTGTTTGTGCCAGCCATGATCTTCACCTTCATGCCCATGGTGTTTTACCTGCTACAAATATTTTTGAAGTCTAATGAAGTGAATCTGGCTTCCAGTAAAAATGAAACTAGCAAGCCTCTCATCACTTAATGCAGCTGAACCTGAAAAATGAATGAATAAGTAGGTTCCAACTGCAGTTGTTTCACTGTAGTTGAGCACGGGAGTTGTGTGGGAAGGATGTAGATTGTACAAGATACATCCACTAGCACTTGGGAAATAGAGCAAATGGAAATTATCTCATTGTTGCTAAACAATAGTAGAATGTGTTGGGAGGAAGTGCTCTCTAAATGTGACAGAGCTGGGTTTGTACCCACTGACTGGAAAGCAAAACTGGCAGTGGATGTGGAGCAGACCTGTTTTTAGAGGGTGGGGGTGTCAAAGAGAAGCTTGTAAAGTGCTGTATTTTCTGCTTCCAGATCGACTATCACTACATCTCTTCTCAGGGATTCCCCATTGAGGGCTGGGCTGTTGTTTACTACATCACTCACCTGTAAGTATGTCAGAAGACTGATGTGATAGATTCAAATTGCCACTGGGGCTGCCTCCCTCCTGAACAAAGTGAGAAATTGTTGTGTTCTCATGCAGACCATAGTACCAAGGACTCAGCAATCAGCCCTGTGTGCAGGGGAAAGCTCCACTTACAGAGGGCAGCTGCAGAGAATTGGCACTTCTGTGGGTGGAGGAGTAAAAGGATAACAAATGCTTTACTTTTCTTTGTTCACACTAATATTCAAGTATCTAATTGGCTCCTGGTATGAATGGTAAGTGGGTACAGCTGCCAGTATTTGCTGCTGTTCACAATGGTGAATGGATGACTCCTCCAGGAAAAGATTGCTTATATTGGGAATGAAGCCTAATATTGCTCTGTGATACACAGTTGTAACAAGTACATCTGCCTCGCTATTGTGGGATGGATAAGTGCTTGCCAAAATTATGGATAGGGAAGCATTTGTTTGGGTTTGTGGCTTTATTGGTAGTGGGAGAAACCTGGGCAGAAGAGGAAGTGTGATAAAATAAAATCAAGTCTCTCACTGCAGTGTCTTTTTCTCTTCCAGCCTGAAGGGAGCTCTTCTGTTCATCACTATCGCCCTCATTGGCACAGGCTGGGCTTTCATTAAACACATCCTGTCAGATAAAGACAAAAAAATTTTCATGATTGTCATCCCACTTCAGGTGAGGACCAAGCTTTGCTAATACTTCCTGTATTGTGGGAGAGCTGCTTGTGCAAATTGGAAAAGGCTGTGAAAATTGCACACAATGTAATGTAGTTCTTGCTTGTATGAGCCTATTGGCTATTTCCTAGTCCAGAAGTTACTGTAGGTCTCCCAATTTTTCTCCCATATGAAGCATGAGATAATTGTGATCAGACAGTTTCAGCAAATAAAAACTGGCTATAAGGAGTGGGAAAAAACTTGGGCTGGAAAACAGTGCTAAACAACTAAGTAGAGGAATTGAATTCAAGTTGTCACTGCTGAAATGCTTGCTGAATGTCTTGATGAAATAAAAAGTGGGAAAAACAAGGCTTGTATGTCTCTTGGGCCTGAGGGAAACATTCCCAGTGGTTCAGAGTGGTCAGTGCTGGTCTCCTACTTGAAGAACTGAAGTACCTAGGAGAACAGAACTTTTGTTTGTTGTATATAGAAGAGATTTTCTGCAAGCCCTTACCAGAAGTATATATAATTAGTGTCTGAGGCTCTTACAGAGCTCAGGTGTGGAGTACAAAAGATGGTCAATGACCAATCTGAATTACTGGCTTAATTTAGAATTCTGTGTTTTCACATTGGCTGTATGTGCCACACAGTACTATGTCTATGTTTCAATAAGTAAATTTTGTTCCTTTTTATCTCAACTGATACAGTAGATTCAGCACAGTGTGTAACAAGAGAATTACTTTCTGAGTGTCAGCAGGAATAAGTTCCCATCAGTTTTATTTCTGTAAATCTTATGAAGATGCTGCTGAATATGTGACTTGTGGATGTAGAGCTGCAGAAAAATCACTGATGTTACTGACTGGGCTTTTGCTGAATTGGCAGGCCACCAGTAGTGACTTCTTGGGCAGTTTCTAAACCATAACCATGTCTTTTTGTGTAGGTACTGGCAAATGTAGCCTACATTATCATAGAGTCAACAGAGGAGGGGACAACTGAGTATGGGCTGTGGAAAGAAATCCTTTTCCTGGTGGACTTGCTGTGCTGTGGAGCCATCCTGTTCCCAGTGGTATGGTGAGTTGCTCTATGTGAAAAACACGTGAACTAAAGGGCAGCAACAGCTCTGCCAAAGCAAAAGAACTGTGCTCCTGTGGAGTCAAGCATTCTGTTAACTTTCATAGACCTCATCAGCCTTAACATTTCAGTCTAGTGCTGTGGAAGATGCTCATTTTGGGGATGTTAGAGTGGGGATAAGGGAAGGTGGGTGGCCGTTAAAATGTGGCCAGCACTGTGCAGACTGTAGGTGCTTTTGAAACTTGAAATTTTGCAGAAGTGTTGACTCTAAATTGAAAAATGGGATTTGGCTTCACTGACTGAGATTAGATACTTGACTGCTAGATTTCAAAACAGTAGTGTTATCTAAGATGAGGGCTGCCTTCAAGCAGAGTAGCTGCATGTTTATTTGACTGTTTATAAGAAATAATCCCACAGGGAGCATTTCCCCGCCCTTCCTTCCACTCTACTTGGCAGGGAATAATGTTGGTTATATAAAACTCAACCAAAACACGGATAATTCAGATAAACACTATTGTTGCTGCTTGCCAGTTAGCCAGAACATTTATCTTCTAAATACATTTTGTCTTAATTGGATAAACAGCTGGGTTTAAAGGAGGATATCAAGGAGCTTCTGGCTCCTTGGTTAGTAAACACAGAATGTCCCTCTTTTTCTCCAGTGTCTCCATTATTTTTTTCTGAAATGAAGATTATATAAATGTCTGGTAGGATGTCATCACTCTAGAGTGTAACTCTTGAGTGTTTCAGAGAGAGGTGTCACTCAGTAGATAGAAATAAGCTTCAGCTTGACTTTTGAAGGTGGGTTTCAACTGTCCTTCTCTTCCCCTACACACTCCTGGTGGCCTTCTGCCAAGGCTGGGAGATGTCTTCCAAGAAATTTGCACTACTCACTTGTCCTTCCCCTTGCTTCAGTCAAAATGCTTCGTCTCTGAGGTTGAGAGCATTTGGCAATGGTAAATAAAAGCTCAGGGGTATTGACTTCAGTTGCAGAGAGATTCGATCTCCTGTGATAAAGGTGACTTCTGCAGTCACAGTTCTTGCTACCTAATGCTGGGTGTGTCCAACCTAGTGAGGTGCTGGTACAAAACTTAACTTTCCATAAAGGAATTGTATCTGAAAAACAAATGTGAGCTGTCTTGTGACTGTTTATGGTGTGCAACCAGTGTTCCTGCATTGCCATGGTGCCAACATAAACTGGCAGTGAAGCCCCTGACATAAAATCCTGCCCCTTTTTCCTCTGGATGGTGTCACTGCAGCTGGTGGGATGATTCATGTGAGCAAGGTGACTAAGACTTGGCCCCTGCATTTACATTCCTGCAGGGTAGTTTCTGTTACATAAGTTGCCTATGTAGACATGTAAGCTGTAATCAACTATTTAAATGAAAAGAGCTTAAAAGAGCAGTAAGATGCCAAATGCTTGGCAGTACTTTGAAGAGTAGCTCAGCTTAATTGTACAAGTGGAAAGCATTATGCTGGAAAATGCCCCAGTTTCTCACTCTGCTCCCTCCCTCCCACAAAGCTTTCTGTAGGCTGAAGTAGGTTTTAGCAATCTGCTTTCTTAATCCCAAGGAAACACAGATACTTGAGCTGACTGCCTGAGCAGAGGGCATGAGGGGGAAGTGTGTGCTGTGCTAAGCACAGTTAATTATGAGGACACTCTAGCCATAAAGAGCTAACAAAACTTGTCAGTGATCTAGAGGACTGCTGTGAAAAGGGAGTGTAAAACTTAACATTAATCTATTCTTTATTTTTCAGGTCGATAAGACATTTGCAAGAGGCTTCAGCAACAGATGGGAAAGGCAAGTAATCTGTATTCTTTGTCCTCTTCTATGTTATATGTTATAATGCTAGAATTTCAAACACATGATGCTGATGTAAAAGTCAAACTAAGACTATAAATCTACACTGTATTAGTGCCACTCTGCTTTTCCTCAGTGGGCTCATGGGAATAAATTTTGAAAAAATTACCTTTTTCTTATATTGCTTTAACTATCAGATTAACATTGTGTAACCCATTCTCTGCTGCTTGCACAGCTCTCCATACTTGAGCTTGACATGACATCTAGAGCAAATAATCTTGACAGATTTTCCATTTTTTCCTCACTTGAGTGTTCAGAAACAGAACTAGAAATGAATTCCAGAATTGCTGACTATTAGCCCAAATAGACCCACTTACTTCAGTTTCTGCAGAAATGTATTCCTGAGAGAATAGAAGGAAATAAACCTCATTATGAAACAAAACATAAGTTGGCATTCAATGTAGCACAGTTCCTGACTTGTCCATGTTTGTACAGCAGCTCCAAGGGCTGCCTGTGGAAAGTGGAGTTATGTTTATTGTAGCACTGGAAAGGAGCCGATGGATGGAAAGGCCAAACGTGGCTGCTGGAGTGCTTTTCCTGCCTTATCTGCTCTTCTGGATTAGTTCCTTGGATACAAGCTGTGGAGTACAGCACTGGCTTCCTTGGAAGCAGGCAGCCTTTTCCATCTTCTGTCATTCGGTGGTTTACTCTTTAAAGCTTCATTTGTAGAAGGTCATTTGTTGGCAACAGCCTTTTAACTTCAGTCCCATCCTTCAATTCTTGTCTCTCCTTTCTGGAATTTTGTAGCCAGGTCTGGGTACTTCTTCCAGTCATTTCCTTGGCTTTCACAGAAACTTCTGCATTTCACTGCTGATTGTAGGTAAAATGTAAGTGTGGGTACTGAGCTTAGCTCTGTGCAGACCACAGATTAGTTCACTTTTTGCCATCTGTTAAATGTAAACATTACTTATGATGAGCCTAGCATGCTTTATTGATGTTCCAAGCTGTTAAAAATGCCACCAAACAACAACCCTACAAGTTAAAAAAAACCAAACACAAACCTAAAAGTGAAAAATTACTATTTTCTAATAGAAACAAATGTTAAAAGGGTAATTTATCAGAGTGTAATATAAATGTTGTTGGTAGCTTTCTTATCAGTGCGTTCACTTGAGTTCAGTGACATTTTCTGATGGATTTGTTTTACCTTGTCCACTGAGCATATCTTCTGGGGTATTTATGCTTTTACCTTTAAAAAGTCTGATAAGTTCAGATTTCCTTTAAACAGTCTTTCTTCTGAACCAAGGTCTTCACACACCAGGCCTGGTTCTTAGCTGGGTGGCAATGAATCTGACTGTCCTGGTGGTGAGCACACAGCAATTAGTGCACATAATTAAGACACAAACCCTTCAGATATGTGTGGCCCTGGGCGATCCCCCTCTACCTACTTTGGTTGCTATCACAAGATGGTGCTGTGGAGTTTGATAAACCTTAGACATTCTGAGAAGGAGAAAAGTGACCAAGAGTAGGGATGTTCAGTGTATAGGCTCAACCTATCCAACCTATCATGAAATCCAGATCTGAGTAAATCTGGGCAGTTCCATAGGTACACTGTGGTGTGTAAAAAATGTGGAGGGAAAAAAAAGGCAATTTGAGAGGAACTGGCTGTGTCTGTATAGCTAGTCAGTGCTATGCACTGTTTTAGTCCTCTGTTTTGTGTTGTTCTCCATGGGTGATGATGCTCTTTATTGTGAGTGTTGCTTGTGAATCACCTGCTGCTGTTCCCAGCTTTACCTACTGCTGTTGCCATCTGGTTGTTCAGATCCTGCACGTTCGGTAACTGTGTATTCAGGGGGTCTTAGCAACTGTGTTATGCTACACTGATAATAAAAGAATAGCTAAGGAATAGATTTTCAGGGAAAACATTGCACAAGCTGAGAGCAGATTGTGGCTGCAATGCTGGGACTCACTTGTGAAACACAATCTGGTTGGACTATTTAGAGGCTGTTGAGAGGAGCCCACAGGGAGCAAGTGAATGGCAATGTGATGCCAGAAGCAGAATGTTACCTAGTGTTGTCATGCTGCTAGTGTGTCTGGTTGTGAAAACCAAAAGTGATTTGATTGCACTGTGAAAAGATGAAATCATTCATGTTAGGCTTATCAATGAATTCTCATTACTAGAACCACATGCTCTATAAGCTTCACTTGGAGACCCTGTTCTTCTGAAGTGCTGCTCAATGTCTCAGCTTCTCATGAGAATTAAAGAATAGAAGCAGTGCTTACAGTTAAATCACAAGCATTTTCCCCCCTGCAGTTAATTTTCTTCTGAAGTAATAAAAGTTACTGGATCTTCTTTTTATGTAGTTATACTATCTCGTGGTTAGAGCTGGCTGGATCGTGTGCATACACTGCTAGCTGAGCTGCCTCTGGCCTGCTGGGATTTATTGTCTAGTCAAAGGCTGCTTTCCCTCTTCTCTCACACAGACTTGATTAACTTATAGGATGTATTGGGGAATTACATATTACACATTCAATAGCTGGCACTGAGTCTTCTGGTGACATCCTTGCTGGTGAGAAAGACCTAAGGAAAATTATTTTTGCTTCCTCGCATCTGTTAGGACTAACAGCTCCAGGACTTTATGGCTCAGTATCCCGGTGGTGCTTCCTTATTGTTTGTCATGCTCTCTTCCAGCTGCTTCTCCACCTGTTTATTAGGTAGCAATCCCCTGGGTCAAGTGACAGCCATGACTGGAGTGTGGCTGGACTGGGAATGAAGCAGATTTGAATTTTCCAGACCTTAGTCTGGGCTTGTCATAGGCTTTTGTTTTAGCAATGTACAATTAATAAAAAAGCCTATTATAAGGGACTCTGATTTAGAGTCACTAGCTAGTAGTCTTTTAAACTAGATTTGATATTTTAAAAGAAAAGCGAAGTGGGAAAGCTGGAGAAATGTGTCTAAAGCCATAATTATCCAGGGATACCTGGATACCCAGATGCTGTGGATTGCTAGTGAAGAGTAGGTAGGGCTGTGGCTGAGTTTGAGCTGCCTGGTTGTTTGCTTTTTTCCCCTTGAAGGTGATCTTTAAAGCAGTATATCTGACCTACACAGGCTTCTTATCTTGCACAGCAGTGGGCGTAAACATCCCATTTTTAGAATCTTTTTTCCTCCCCTTTTAAAATCGCCACCTTCAGACTTAAGCAACTGCTTAGCTATACCTCTTTGATCTGTAACTACATCTTCCTTCAGGTAGGAGCCTTTGCTCTCTGTCCATTTGTAGATCTGCATTGTAAATGTCTTGCAGATTTAAGGAAATCAGCCTTGTAAACTGACCTAGAATTTTCAGCCTGCAAAGCTGCTCAATTGCCACCACCTTGTTTACAGACATCTCAAGAAAAGAGAGGGAATATGTATATTATTTATACATAATTTTTGTTTGAAACTCCAAGTATTTGTTCACTGGACCTCTCAAGTCTCATAGCACACCCTTGTGATCACATCCTCTGTTGTTTGAGGGAGGAATGGGGTTGGAAAGCATTGCTGCAGTTTGTTCTGCTGGTACCTGTGCCTTTGTGGTGAGAGATGTGACACGGCACGATCAGATCATGGGTTGCTGTTTTCCTGGAGCACTGCAGCATGTTACAGTTGGCAGCAGAATTAAGGGAAATACATTACAGCCTGTCACTCCCAGGCATCATTCATTCCCTGTGTTCTGTGCAGTGGGCAAATGATGATTAATGCTTTTGTGCTTGCCCTTATGTCAGGAAAAACCATTTGCACTATTCAGTGTCTTCCTGCTGCTGTGCCATGAAAAGGCTGTGAGCAAAGAGCCTGGTCCTGTGTGGTGCAGAGCAGCCTGTGCTTGGCTGGGCTCAGCACCACCTCCAGGTGCCCCAGAGAGCTGTCCAGGGTTGATGTGGCAACTCTGTGTTGGAGATACGGTGCTTATCCTGTTCTTTGGACTTTCATCTGACCCTGGTGAAGTGCTTTCATACCAAATGGGTGATGTGGTTCAGGACATTCAAGATTAAGGAGTCTGTGCCACCTTCTGCGTGGCACTGAGCCTTGCTGTATCTGTCTGACCTCTTCTTTCTAGTACAGGAATGCTTTTAAGCAGAGAGCTGAGGCTGTAGAGCTGCACTTCTCAGAGCTGGTTTTTCGAGGGTTAGATCTACATGTGCTGCATCATTGGGGAGGACAGAAAGCTTCCATTTACAGTTTGATAATGGCACAGATCCCATCTCAAATGCACCATCGTGAGTAGGGCAAGCAGAGCATTGCAGAAATACTTTCAGCTGTACCTTGAGCATGTTCAGTGGCTGCATTATGGTTTTTCTTTATGGATTGTATTGTCTGGGCTCGAGCTCCCTGCGCCCTCAGCTGCAATCTTGTGATTGTTATTACATACATTTACTGAAAAGGTTGGATTTATTCATCAAAAGGCTATTGTGTGGTGTGCAAGTGGATGGTCCAGCTTTTACCATCTTATAGACAACCTCAACATTGGAAATTAGCATGGGGACAATCTCAATAAGAGACTGCTTATCAAAATACTGAGGTGTGCTCTGTTTTGATCGATACAGGTCAGGCTGTTGCAGGCACAAGCTGTTAAAGTAAATGGTGATAGAGAGGGAGAACTGAGGGAAGCAAGGTATATATGTTATGTTTCTTGGAGGATGGCTTTTATCTTTTTAATTACTGTCTGAAAGAACATGAATTAATTTCTAAAACCTTTAGTGGAAGGTCTCTTTTTAATTTATTTTTTTTCTTCTCTGCAGTTAAGTACTGTCCTTTGCAGAATGGTTATCGTACTCGAAATATAAATTTACCCAACCTTTACTGCATGCTGTGATTACTGCTGTGTTATCACAGCCTTACAGGTTCAGCTTGCAAGTGATTCAAGTTGTAAGTGACAGCTGCTGGCTGAGCCTCGCTCCTTGTAAATGCTGCTGTTGCTGTCTGGACTGCCAGGCTGAGGTGAACAGAAATCTTTGAGTGTCCATGATAGCAAGACTCAAATAATAATGCTTGGAGCACATTCAGCCTGAGAAGAAGCAATTCACAAGCTGCTGATGCCAAGCAATGATGATTTTAGATTTTTCTCCAGAACAGTGTGTCCCGTAACTTTGAGTTGTTTAAAAAAAACTGGCAGAATTTTGTAGACATGCATTAATGCTGACTTACGTATCTGATAGTGGAGAGAAATATTGCTGCAGTTGAGGAGAGCAAGTCAGCTTCCACAGGTAGTTTAGCTTTTCTCCTTGGTGGTGGCTGTCTTTTTTTCCTCTCCTTGCCCCTCTTTCCCATACTCAGACATTCTGGATATATGAATATACCAATTTATGACTCAGCTATTGATTATCATGATGAATTGCTGCAATGTTGAGCTATGCTTCATCAGCTGGGAGAGGTGGAATTATGACACTTCATTTGGTAGTCAGATCTTTGGCTTTGCTGTCCTTTCATCCTGTGCAGTGCATGAATCCACCAGAAATGACTCCCCAGCTCACTGGTGTTGACTGTAAAGCACTGATAGACTGGCAGTTTGAATCACAGCTGTTGAGTTGGTGTTCCTTCAACTACAAAGCCTGGTAATTCTCCTGGCCTGTCAGTGCACCAACTGGTGGCAGTTCTTGAAGTTGGACGCGTTGAGTTCAAAATAGATCCTTCTGTGTGCAAACCGGTGTGTGGGAAATCACAAGATCTTCATGGTCACATTTAATGCAGCTCTTCTTTAAATAGGACAATATTGCTTCCCTGTTTGACAATTCAGAGCACTTATCATGCATATTTACATGCTTTAATCTTTCACCAACTCTATTTGGAAAAGCTTTTAACTTTAGATCATTAGTCAGTTCATGCTGACCAACAAGTGTTGGTCGGGTTGCTGCTCTGAGAATGTATCTGATGGAGGAGGGTTTGTATCTGGCTTGAGGTGTCTGTAGCTTTCAGCAGTACCTCAGGAACACTAAAGGGAAACTGGAAAGGGATTCTTGATCTCTACATTATAAAAGTAGTTTTATAACAGAATGCTGTCTGTCTTCACTGTAGTTTCTGTAGTGGGCATAGGAATTTATTTGCAGTGGTACATTTGACATTTCCTTTGCATAAAAAAGCTGCTTTGTTTTCATCAGAAGAGGTGAAGCATTTCTTTGGTAGCTATTAGCTCTCCTCTCCCTCATCTGAAATACTGAATTTTGCTGTCTTGTGAACCTGGAAGACCTTACCTGCAAATATATGCAACCTTTTATAAATCATTGCAGTGTGTGAGTTCTGTGAGGGGGTGCAGGTGAACTTCAAGTCCATGTATTGCACTTGCACATCTGATAAATACATTATGAGGATTTGGAGGGATTACCAGTAAATATGTGGCAGTATTTTTTAACTGGCAGCTCATGTTCATTGGCTCTGAACTGCATCTCTGTATGCTGTCAACACATCTTGGACTCTTTACCTCTCCTGTTGTCACAAAAGCATCAGTGGCCTGTGTTTGTAATCCTGCAGCGCATCTAAAAGCTGACTCTCAGACCAGAGCTGACAGCTGCTCCATCTGTTGTTGACCTCAGCTGGTTCACATGAATGTTCTGTGCTGCTCCAGCTGATGTGATCTGTGCAATACACACAGGTTTGCCTGGGGCCTCGGCTCAGACACGTGTTGGGGAACTGCTCAGGATGATTTCCCGTTTCACTTGTGACTTGTGGCTGAGCCATGAGTGATAGAGGACCTTGCTTAGGTATTAATTTTTAATTAATTAATTAATTAACAGCTTGGGCTGCTGTTCAGCAAAATGCAGTGGTTCTCAGAGCTGTGATTAGCTCAGCTGAAAGCATGTAGCAGGTCAGGGACAGCTCTAGAAAAGACAGGAATTTTCTAGAAGGCAGTGTCAGGTGGTGTGGCCCCTCTGGCAGGAGGGAGGTGACAGTATATTGTTGGCTGTATACAGGTAGAGAAAGGTTCTGTAATGCAGAGTGTGTGCATATAAAAGTTAGTGCAAAAGCAATCTTAGTTCCCTTTTTAAGAGTGAATTCACCACAGCCTGGGAGTTACCCTGTATGTGGACATGCCAGGATGGCACTCCTCAGTACAAATCTTTCTAGCCTGGTATTAACTGAGTCTTGATTTTGACCACTTACCTACCCTGCAGACAGGCAACAAAAGAAATTGTGTCATGTTAACAATTTTCTGATGGGCTTTTGTGTTCTCTTGATAGCTGCCATTAACCTAGCAAAGCTGAAGCTCTTCAGACATTACTATGTCATGGTAAGTAAAACACCTGCACACATGCATGTTGGGAACTTGGAAGCTATTCAAAGCTTTTGATGGAATACTTGCTGGAAACTGCTGCAGCTGGTGGATGTGGTAGAGGCTCTTGGCACTGCTGTGCTTTGGCATCTTGGTCAACTGGCTTACAATCCTAAAAACAACTTCCTTTTTTCTCCTAATGGTTATATCCTTCTGTCTCTCTTTAAATTCCAGCTATTTGTAATGCTTCCTGATTTCCTCTGGAGACAGCTTGAGCTGCCAGTTGAATTGATGGGCTTGAATAACGTACTGTAAACTTGCTAAAAATTAAACTTGGGACCAAATGGTGCCTGGAGATGCATGTGTGCAGTTCCTGATTAAGTCAGTGGGTGCCATGAGTACGTTTCCCAGGAGAACACAGGCTTCTTAATGATTTCCAACGGCCTCATTTCAGGCTCTTCTAAGTGGCAAGAGTAATAAATTACAATTGTGATTCTTGAAATTCTATGAAATTGTAATACTTAAAGCATTTCCTGCTGTAACTTGAGTATGTTACCAATAGCTTGAGTTATTGGATGTTCAGCAAGCAGTAGAACCCTCAGCCTATATCTTCCATGTTTATTGAGGAGCATAATAAGGCTAGTCTGACATAATGAGTTGGCTGGGAATTGCTTGAGCTATTTCTCTGGGGTAAGAAGGTTCTGTAAGGATGGTGTTATTCTTCTCATGCTTTCTCCTTTTCCTTCCCAGATTGTGTGTTACATTTACTTCACACGGATCATTGCAATTCTCATAAAGATTGCTGTTCCATTCCAGTGGAAATGGCTGTACCAGGTATTTGCCAGTAAAGGAAAATACATCCATTCCTTGATATTTTTGTTTATTATTCTTTAAATATAATTGCACAACAAAATTCCATAAAGTGTTCCTCATGTTACAGCGAAGCATCTCAAAGCACAGTGCTGCACCTTGCCTCCTCTTGATTTTATCACTGATGTGCTTAAGGTGAAAGAAGATATTGTTAGTTTTATGTTTGTCCAGCAAGGCTGCTGGATTATACATGAGATGTCTGAAAGTAATTGCATTATTGATTTTCAGTCTTTCAATTTAAAAATGTCTGAAGGAAATTAATCAAGAACATACAAAGGAGAAAAAAATTAGTCAGGTTTGCTCTATGTAATTGAAGCCTGAGGGAGCCAGGGAAGTAGGCTTTTGCTCTTGCATCTACAGGCTTCTTTTGCCTATGGACTTCTAAATCCTTGGTTTCTTAACACATAATCCAGGCAACTGTGCAGGGAGTCCTTGGAATACATTAACTGTTGAAAGGACCAAACAATGTAGGAATGATTCCCCCCCCCCCCATTTAAAAGCCAAGTCTTGCCATAGTTCCTTGAAAGCTCTGGAGAGATGGATAGAACTATAACTGTATTTAAAGCGACAGGGAAAACGGAAAGAACAAAGGATTTGACAGCCTTTAGCTTGGTATTAATGACAACCAGACAGGAATTCTTTTATTTCTGCTGTGGCCCAGGCCTCCTGGCCATTAAACCTTGAACCTTATGAATGAGGAATGATGTTTCGTGACCACGGAGCGTAGCAGGACTGAACTTCAATCTTGTGTTTTCCCTTGCAGCTACTGGATGAAATGGCCACGCTCGTGTTCTTTGTCCTTACTGGGTACAAGTTCCGTCCAGCATCAGACAACCCTTACCTACAGCTCTCTCAAGATGATGAGGATGACTTGGAGATGGAAGCTGTGTAAGAGCCCCTCTCCCCTTTTATTTACCTCTTCCCTTGATTTGAGAAAAGTAGTTTACTTTAATCTCTCTAAATCCTTCTGTCACAAAGATGAGGATCTGCCCACGTTTAAAGATGAGGTGTCTGTTTTGATGTGTGTAAAGAGACTTGTGATGTGCATAGGAGCCTCTGACCTGGATATTGCAGTGCTGTGGAAAAAGCAGGTAAAGCTTTTCATGGGGCAAAAAGATACCCATGAAAATGTCAAGTAAGAAAACTTCTAATTCTAATTTAGATTATGGAACATGAATGAGTTTTACAGTTTGTCATTAATGCTTCATATTTAAAAAAACCCAAGCGAACAACAAAAATTAACTACCAATCTGCAGAACATAATAAATGCATAAAAATAATAATAAATAAATGAACAGGGTGTAAAGTCCCTTCTGCCTTGGTGTTCAGCACATAGCTTTGCAAAAATTTATTTTAAGCAACACTGAGCCAAGGAGATGGATTTTTATCAATTGTCTTCCCTAGTTTATTCCCTGCTGCAAAACCACGATGCTTCAGGACCTGAGCTAGTCTGGAAAAATTATATAGCAGGGCTCAGGCTAAGTCCCTGTCATTTTCCTTGCAGTGGTTTTCTGAGGACTTAAAAAATGAATGGCATTTTCAAATGTGTAATTAAAAATGCCCTAAGAAATTCAGCCTGCCAGGAGTGTTGGATACAGCTTTAGGTGCCCCTGAGTCTGCTGCCTTAATAGAAGCAGAGCTAACCTAATCCTTTGGTAGTTATAGGTTTGATGCATAATTGCAATTCATGTTCAGGCTCAGAAGACTGTTCCTAAGAGTTTTTTCCAGTTTGGCAAATCTCCTTTACCTGAGTGAAATAAATCAGCACTGTTTTTATTACAGAGGCAAAAAAAGTCCAAATGTGTTTGCTGTCATAGTTAGCTCAGAAGGAAATTAATCGTATTGGAAAACTGCTACAAGGAGGTTTGAATCATAGAATCCAGATTGAAATGTCATGTAAGGAGTTTAACTTCTCAGAAATATGGCTAGTAACAAAGATCTTTTTAAATGCTTAGCTATTTTTGCTTTGGGTCTAGAAAATCTGTCATTTTTGCAAGTGGAATCCAACTAGTGGGTAGTGACCTTAAAATCACTATCACTTACATGTGTTTAAATAGTTTATGTAAGAAACTGGTCTCAGTTTGGAAGCTGTTTGGTAAAAAAGCATTCACATCAGGAAGTCACTGTCTGAACTGGCAGGATTTGTGATTGTACCAAAACAGGCTTTTTTCCTTTTTGCCTGTTAGAGTGAGTTTCATTACGTGCTTAATGATTTTTTGCTTGTGGGGGTTTTGCTAGGACTAATAATAGGACACCTTTCAAATACAGTGATTTTAGTCAATTGAGAAGTTGCTAAATTTAGGAGAATCTGCCAGAAATGAGGTGGAGAAAGTTTAATGAAGTAATTCAGTGATTTACATCTCATCATAAGATAGACGCTGCTAAAATCTCAAGGGTTAGAATTGCTTGTGAGCCTTTTCCTAGTAAGGCATTTTCCTCTTTCCTTAGGGAGTTTCCACTGTTGTGCCTTGCAGATTATTCCTCTTAGCCTTGCTTGAATTTTTCTGATCTTATTCACAGGAAATTTTATTCCACTTGGGCACTGGGCAGGGTATAATCTGTGTCTGGTTCTCCCTTCCCCAGCTCCATCAGGAGGTTTATGTTTGTAGCTATTTGAAAAACAGAGTTTTTACTCATTCTGTGACAGGTGAAGCACTGCAATGGAAGTATATTAAATTTCTCATTGATTTGGTCTTGCTGGTCCTATTTTTGTCTTCATAAATATTAAATGTTGTTTCTGTGGGGGGAAAAAATAACCTGGGTTTATTTGAGGTGTCTGACAGTGTCCTGACTAACCACTGCATGAGTGTTTTGTTTTTCATGTGATAAATACCCACTTGTCTTCACAGGCTGTGGCAGAAACTAAAAACCTGCAAACTTCATGGTGTTCTGCTATGTCAGTTTTATTGTTATTTTCCTCCCCCAGAGGGTTTTTGTTTAAAATTGGGTTCTCTAAAACAGAAGCATTCAGTTCCTTTAGACTCAACATGTCTATGAGCCAATAGAGAAGGAAAGCTGTGAGGTTATCAAACCTCTTTTTCAGGCTTGCTTTTCTTCCATAAAAAAAAAATAGGACATTTTAAGTGCAGCTCTCTAGTTTGGGTCTGTTTTCATGCATTTTCATTGCAAATGATACAAGTCTTGGTCTGGCAGTAAATGCAAATATTGTTAAGGAGTTGGAAAGGAAATTCTTAAGGAAATCTGGGAAGTTTAAAGAAAAATCTGCAAATTAGGTGTCTGTACAGAAGCAATGCAAGGCACAGATCCTCTCTTTTTAAGTCCTTGTAACTCTCAGGAATAAAATACAAATGAAGAATAGCAAAGGTAACTCTGGCTTGGAGAAAGGATCCACAGACTTTGCAGGAATCTCTTCAGTTATTCCAGGCTCCACAGAAGTTGTCCTGGCAGGGAGGAGACTAAAGCTGAGCTAAGGACCCGTCTGTCCTTTTTTAAGCAGGTTCAATAGCCATTCATCATCTGCAAAGTGGCTTTCTGTGTATTCTGTGCTGGGCAGCCTCTCGAGTTCTGTCAGTACGTGGGCTCCTCGCTGACAGTTTGTTAAAGTTCCCTGCTTGAAAAGTTGCAGCCAAGAGAGAAAGAGCTGTCAGGCTTCCAGTCCTAATGCCATTTCTGGGGCATGAACACCAAAATATGAACAGTACTGTAGATGAGGTGGGGGTGAGGAAGGGGAAAAGAAGAATTTTTGATTGTTCTGTTTTTTATTTCATTAACTCGGTAAGCTGGCTTTAGATGCTGGGTATCAAAGTGCTCTTTAATGGATCTTGGTTGAAAATGATCATGCATGCATGGGTGGTTAAGATATTTCCACTGCAGGAGAAGAAGCCATTAATGGTTTTGTTCTCAAGTTGGTAAATCCATCTTACTCAGTGTGTGGAGACTGCTTCTCCTTAACACCCAAAACAGCCTCAACACAGGGAACTGTTGTGGTAACACTGATCTTTGCTTATGCCTTGGGATCTGGAGTTTCTCTGTGTCATGAGGTAGCTTATTCTGCACTGAGATTGTCCTGCTTAGTTGCTTTTCTCTGCTTTCTCTCAGCTTGTACTTCGTGGCAGACTGATTCATGGTGCTCTCCATTAGCAGTGATCTTCTTCACCTAACACATCTTTTGCTTGCAGAAATCAGCTTTTTTGCTCTATGCTGATCAGTTTTCACTCCAGTTTGCAATAGCTTGTAAGGGCTGGCTGCTGCCAATGTTGCAGTGTTTCTTGTTGGACTACAAAACAAATAAACAGGAGAAAAGACAGCTGAGATCCGCCACTGTGGAGAGCTGGAGATACTTCTGAATGTTTAGTCATTCCTTGATACTTTGGATACAATGCAGGAGAAAAATAAACCCCATGAAATCTCTGCAGCACGTATCACTATGTGGTGGAATGCTTGGGGAACTCCTTCTCTGCCTCATTTGTGATGGATATCCATCTCTGCCAGGCACAGAAATGCTCTCAGGAGAGGGGTGGTTTAGTGAGAAGGATTTGTTGCATTTTAACTGCTGCTGATTTGTGGGCTGGAAATGCAGTTCAGCAGACTGCAGGTGAGGAACATTTCCCTGCTGTGTTGCAGGTCAGAGCTGAAGTGCTGAGACTGTTGGGAGGACAATGAGGATTTCAGTGTGCTTGGTCTTAGTGCTGCTGTCCTTATTTTATTGGGCAGTAAAATGTGAAGACTGGACTGATTTTGAGGCTGAGAGGAATTGCCTGTTGTACCTGAACAATCTGAGAAAAGGAGAGACTTGAGAGCTGCTTCATGCAGACATTTGTCATGAGACAAAAACAGTATTTTTAACTGTTCAGATGGGCTTTGACCTTCACTGTTGGAGAATCCACACAGAAATATCTCCCAGTTATTTGCTGTTACTGAGGGGGGACACAGTAAATGGCCTCTCTGGTAGCAGAGGATGTGGCTTGATCTGCCTGCACTTTCAGTGTGTAGCTGCCTTATACACATGGATCATTCCCTCTTAGCCATAACCATTACTTCTGTCACCACCTTGGTGTGCAGTGGCTCTCTAATGGCATTAGAGTGCAGGGCTGGAATCTAGGCTGTGTGCCAGGTGGGATCTTCCCAGCTGGGAGTCAAGTGTTGGGACTACTTTGGTGTCATGCACGTGTGAAACACCTCTTTATATATCCCAGTGTATCTGCTGCTGCATTGCTGTGTGAGATGCTCATTTCTGGTTTGTAGCTCATGGCAGTCTTCAGCTCCTCCCTGAGGAATGAGCACTTAGCTCCTCATTCTGTAATTAAGAAGTTGACTATTTCTGAAGAGTAAACTTGGTACTGTCTTGCTGCATCCTCCTGTACTTTTCAGATTATTACTTCAATTTGCCAGAATCTTTCTGCATTCCAGTCTTGTTCTCCAGTATGTAGCTCTTAGTGTCTTGTGCAGATTTAATAAGCAAGTTCTCTATTCCATTACCCAGGCAATTACTGAAAATACTGAGTAGAAGTGAACCCAGGACAGGCCTCTCTGGAACCACACTCAATGTTCTTACGTTTTTGACAGGAAACCATTAAGTACATCTCAATGCATACTTTTCCAATTAGTTATCCATCTACTTCAGTTTTGTCTAGCTTATGTTTCCCCAGATTTTTTCCTATCGGACTGTGAGAAACCTTTGTCAACAGGGAGAACTTAAAATATCTACATGTCTCTGTACTGATTAGTTTGATCTCTTCTAGGAAATGTTTATTGTTTACTAATTCCATCTTTCTCCTTTAAGCAACCTGCTTACTTTTCTCTGTACTTTTCTTTTTATATTTTAGTAGGGAAAGAAGTTATTTGATCTGTACTCTTGTGACCCTTTCCTGTTAAGTCCAAGCTCATTTACGCCCACTTTAAAGTGAGAACCAGTGATGATCCCAGTATGACCACTGCTGGAATATCACTGAACACAGCAGGCTGAGTAAATTATTTTTACAGTACATGAACAGAAGCTGGGATCTATCATGGAACTAAGGGAAGAAGAGTGTTATCTGAAGATGACTTCTCCTCTTGGGGTGATGCTGTGGAGATGTTGTTAGCAGCTCTGATCAAATAAAACACTCTGACATGGTAAACAGCAGGTGAAGAAAGCACTCACAGACCAAGAGGGGCAGCTTTGAATAGGACAGGTCTGTGTGTGCTTCCAGGCATCCCTTGGGAATGCATTGAGCTATTGGCACTCTTAAGTTCAGCGTCCAGAATAACCTTTGTAGCATGTTTGTGGGAGAAAAAAAATACCTGTATGGAATGAGAATCACACTGTGCAAAAGAATAAAGGAAATGTGTTGTGCATCCAAATTGCCTGTTTGGTGTAGCAGCAGAGAAAAACTGCTGAGCTGAAGAGCTGTTGAAGAGCCAAGGCAGTTCCAAGAGGAGTGGTGCTGTTCTGCCTGGATAAACAGTTCAGTCTACCTAATGTTGAATGGTATTGTGAGGCTTTGTTATTCAATGGTCAGATTGCCATGACAAATCCAGACTTGGATGGTATAAAAAGGTTTTCTTGCTTCTGTTTTTTTGCTGCTCATTTTGCTATTAAGAGGAGCTGGTGTGCATTAAGCTAATAAGGTTCATCTGGGGCACTGTCCACGGTGTGTGTATTTGTGTAATATGTTGTGCCTATTAAAATGCAGAAGAAAGTCACAGAAATAAAGGTGGTCAGCTGCATAGTAAAAGGAGGGTTTTAAGTGAACTGCTCAAATTTAGCAAATAAACACCTGTTTTAACTGTTTTACCTCCCCTATTACCTTTTTTGTAATATGAGCCAATATTACTTGCTGCTTTAGTTTAATGATAGATGGGAAGGGCCTTGAGGTGCCCATCTGAGCTGTGTCAGGGTGATCCAAGAGATCAAACATGGGAACTGCTCAATGTGGGTAAAGAGATGTGAGAAGTGTTGTTTGATGGGTGCGAGCTGTTGCTCAAATGGATTTTACAGTTTGAGGTCTGATGTCTGATGCTTCTCCCTTCTCTTCTAGGGTGACGACTTCGGGAGTAATGGAGGGCATGAAGAAAGTCAAGAAAGTGGTGAATGGTTCAGCAGAGCCTCAGGGCGAATGGGAAAGCACGGCATGATGGACTGGACTAAGGCAGCACTTTCAGAGAAACTTTTTTAATTTATTAATATTACTCTCAGTGGAAAGGGAGCAACTTGCACTCCCCACCACTGAAACTGCAGAGTGGGGTGTGTCTAGGGAGAGCAAAGCAGTGCAGAAATATATCACTATTCCTTTGATCATAAGAAAATGGGATCTCCTGGTACCTGCAAGGAGCGTGAAGCTTTCCTAGGGATTTTGGGTAGCTTTTTTTTCCCTCCCTCTCTGGATCGGTTCTTTATTCTGAATTGTTGCGTTCCTCAGAATGTGTAATACTAATGTGAAGAGGGCTTTTCAGTGTGTATGTAAAGAATATATTTTATATAATGCTCATATACACACACACATACTTGCTATGTAACATGAATGCTGGGACTTGCAAAGCCTGTCAGAAGGTGGGAAAAGAAGATAAAGACATGTAAGTATTTTTTTTTTCTTTTTATAAACTCCTTTTGGCTTGGACGAAGCATTGCAAACCAAATGGATAGGAGCAACTGCAGTTATTTGAGAGACTGAACAGGTATTGGATCAGATGACTTCTGCCACTGCTCATGCAAGTGTGAAAGGTGATAAGTATCTTCTTGTCTTATCCCTGCAGGTGTCCACCTGAATGTGTCAGGTTTTCAGATGTGTTGTTATACAGGAAATGAGTGACTGTTCTCCATTAAAGCACTAAACCTATAGTGCAATAAGCATTTGTGTACCTTCTCCACTGTCCATGGAGTTGCTCTTGACTCACCCCCACCTGACAAGAAGTACACAAGAGGTGTAAGACTGATGCTTGCTTTTTAGGGGTCTGCCTAAATGTTTACTTTCAAGCTGTGACCCAGAGCACTTTAGTTTGCTTCATAAAATATTTTCAAGGTATTTCAAAAGTCACTCCTTTCTGGCACAGTATAAACAGTACCAGACTCTCCAGTGGAAATCTGTCTAGCCATTTTACTGCAGCATAAATCTCTGGTTCACAGTTACCCTGAGTTACTGGGCCTCTCTGAATGGCTACTTATACCTCTCTGGCTGTGTAGGATTAATGACACTGCTGTTTGGGATGAGCTGAACTGGTCAAAGGGGTATTTATTGCCACCAAAAACAGGCAATTGTAACTCCCTGTCCTAAATGTGGGGCTTTTTTTCTTTTTTTGTTTTTTTTGGGGGGTTTTTTTTTGGGTTTTTTTGTTTGTTTTGGTTTTTTGTTTTTTTGGTTTTTTTGGTTTTTTTTTTTTGTCTTGAGAGGAGAAGATGATGACCAGAACCTTGATGCAGGGGAATATGGAATCCTTGACTGTTAGCTGCAGACTTGCAGTAGAGCCTTTACAGACATCTTCCAAAATGCCACATTTTCTCTGTAGTCCCTGGGGTTGTCAGTAGGGCAGTTGGTGTCCAGAGCTGTAGTAGTGACAATGGATGTTCATTTGGGGGAGGATGGAAGTGGCTCTCTGGTGGAATGAGGATTAGCTTTAACAAAAAATAAATCAGCTGAAGGTCACTGACCCACTGAAGCCTTAATATTCATGCAGGGACATTGACATGTGGTGCTGTGCAGCCAAATGCTTCTGCCAGGGTGTCAGGGAGAGGCATCATCAGAGCTCTGGATGTGCCAGCATCATTTACAGACTCATTCAGGAATTGGTTTTTTTTGGGGACTACATTTCTGGGGCACAGCTGATTAGAGAACTATTAGCCACTAGGTTATTTTATTCTTCAAGCTGAGAAGGATGATTTCCTCTGGAATCTTGAACCACTTCCTCACTCCTGAGCAGGAATTGTGGAGTTCTTGGTGAGCTTGTCTGTACCAAGACTTGCTGTTTTAGGAGCAGCATCACTTTCCCCCATTGCCACTTCTTTTCCCAGGTGTTGGTTCTATGCACCATGGAGATGGTAGAAATAAATCTGTCTGCTTTGATGCCTGGAACAGCTTTCTCTTCAGATAAAGCACAAGAAGAAGAACATTTGTCTCTGGCTACAGAATCCTCTTCTGTTTTTCTCCTCAGCTGTAACTTCACAGTAATCACAGCAGTGATAGTTTGACTTTTCTGTCATTGCCTTGCAGTGAGACAGTTTTAGTGGGACAAGATCCTGTATCACTGGAAAGGCTGTTTGGTGACCTATGAGCCTTTCAGGCCTTCTGTAGGAAGAAATCTGCATATTTAGCTGAAGTGTGAGAAACTGGACCATAAATAAACACAGGCAGTCCCAGCTCATCATATGCTTAAATGCAATACCTGAAAAACTCATCCTCTTCCTCTGCAGTTACTCTGTCCCTGTGAAAAGCGTCACTCCCTGCATCCAAAGGGCTGCTCAAACAGGCTGTAAAGTTTGTTCAGAGAAGCCTGCTGAAGACTTGCAGTGTGTTGGCACTGAGGTATGTAAGGGATAAGGATGTGCTGTCAGGAACAAAGTGCATCTGGACGATGCTATTCTGGAATTCCTTTTGTGAATGAGATGTGAAATTGTCATGGGTGTGGCATTTCACCTAGAACCACGAGGGCTGTGCTGTGATCCCAGGGAGTGCTGAGCTGGTTCCAAACAGCTGCCTATTCCATACCTCAGCATCAGTGAAGCTGACAATTTGGCAAGTGCTGTTACCTTCGTCTCTTTTTCTCTCTTTTTTTTATGTGTGCTTTTTTTGCTAAAGTTGCATATGGTGTAGGTTTGTCTGCCAAGTCCCTGGCTCACCAGTCAAAGGCCAAAAAAATGGGTCATTTCTTTTTGTCTTGGCATGAAAAGCCACAGCAGTATTCTGGAAGTAATTTTTTTACAAGAGCTTTTTCCAAGTTCAGCCCTGAGCTTCAGCAGTCAGCTCTACAACCCAGTTCAGCTGGTGCTTTACACAGGATGCCAAGCAGCAGGAAATGGTCAGACCTGAGCACTAGGAAGAAAAAAACCAGTCATGGACGAGTCAAAAACTGAAGGATTCTTATTGTGGCCATTTCCAGAACGAATTTTCTCTGGTACAATTCCTTGGATCAGGACAAAAAGTCTGTCTTGATAGATATAATGGATGGGACAGCAGCTGGGATGGTGGAGGGTGGAGGGGGATGGGTGCAGTTGTGCTTTTCTCCAGCACAGCGAGTGCTGCACTGCAAAGCATCAAAGACAGGACTGCTCCCTCCCCTCCTTCCCAGGCAAACCCACAGCGGCATGACTGGCATGGCATGACTCCAGGGCTAGTGGAGTGCAGCAGCTTGGAGCTTCCCAGGCAGGAGAATCAGTGCTTGCCTTTCACATGCTGATGGATGCTGATCTGGTAGCAAGCTCTGCCTCTCACAGGGGGGGAGTCGAGAGGAGCTGTTGTGGATTACAGATCGTTTAGGGAGATGCAGCTTTGCTTCCCTGTCGCTGCTTTTACTGAAGTGAGGAGCTGAAGCAATCACCAACAGTACCCCGCAGCAGAGTGCCAGGAGTCCTGGAACAGCAGGTCTGGTGCAGTGGGAATAAATGGTTTGAATGCTTTCCCATATGCTGCTGCAGTGGAGCACTTGGTCCCCTCTGCAGACAAAAATGAGATTGGTTCAGTCTTCACTTGTAATGCAGGTTATGCCCCAGTAAATCCCTGTGGATGCTGACATGTACATGCCACTGCTGCACTCCTCCTTCCTGCTGGAGCTGCTCAGCAGGCTGTCTTCCAGAGGAAGCCTCCTTGCAGTGCAACTGCCAGACTCTTGCATTCTTCGGGCTGGAAAATGTTTTCCTTGATGGTTCATCAAGAGACATACTAAAAGAAAGCAAGACATAATGGGGTCATCTGGAACAGTGCTGCTGCGTGCTCTGAGTGGAGCAGTTTGAGTTGAAGAAGCCACATGCTGTCCTATTAAGATGCTCTTTCATGTTGTCGTCTAACTCGGAGTGTTGTGATGTGTGCAGGGCATTGTTCAGTGTTTCCCTCCAGCTGAGTGCCCTGTTCCTCGATTTCCATGCTGGCATACCCTGGGAGAGCATGTTGTAAAAATTTGCTGCATTGCAGCATTTTGTCTGGAGCTCGTAGTGTGGAAGATGTATTTTTTCTAAGCTAAGTGGACTCTCTAGCATGAGTGTGCATCCACCATGTATCCTTGAGCACTGTAACATTCCTTCTGGCCATTAAAGGGCATGCCCTGATCACTCCAGTGTGCACATCTGGTGCAAGTCCTGTAGAAGATTTTTAGTGTTAAGTCTTTTTTCCTTATTGTGTGTTCCTCTTAGAGAAAAGCAGTTGAGCCGCTGACAATCAAATTGATGAGAATGGGAGGAGATTTTGTTGTTTATTTGAAAACTGCCCAATTTGAAGCAAATACTGGGTATTGTAGGCTCTATTGAGCTCTGTGGACTGGAGTTCCCTAGCTATTAAGGAGAGGGAAGGAAATCTTTCTTCCTTTAGCCTACTTGGTTTGTCTCCTTCAATTTGACCTGTCATGCTAGCTAACAGATTGCTGTCATTTTAAAGATGTTTTATAGCTCCTGTGTTATGATCTCTACTTCACTCATAGAGCACGTCCCCATTTTTCACCTGTGTACAAAGAGTGAGGAGCTGTGGTCTGCAGGAGTGGGAGGTGCAGTGAGGTTTGAGTATAGTGGGACCCACACTGAAACTGTGACCTTGTGTGTAGCATCAGTAGCCTCAATGTTTCATCAAAGCTGAGGTGATGCTGCCCAGAGACACTTGACCAATGTTTCTTAGTGTTCCCTGGGGTTGATTTGCTGTAAAACATTGTTCTAAATTGAATTAATTTGCCTCCTTTTTTGTAGCTGCTGGATATAACACTTTTGGACTGATTAATCACTTTTCCTTAGAAATATTGGAAAGCTATTCATTTTCCCTTTGTAGTGTCTTGCCTGGATATAGCAGTGATCCAGTGAGAACTGCACGTGATCTGTGCTCCCAAGTGACTGGAACGGGATGTAGAAAAATACCAATACTCATGTGTTGAGTGGTGTAGGAAGAAAGTGGCTGAGAAAAGCTCCTTATGGGCTGTCTGGCTCAAGAACCCATTTATGTTTGGACTGCAGAAATCCTCTAGAAAGGACAATTCTTAATACATATTTCCCTGTGGGATTTCACTCAGTGTTCTGCTCTCTGTGTACTGAAGTAGAGTCCAACCTCCACATTGTCAGAAGCACTTCATCCTGCAGCCAGTGGAGCTGGTACCTGCTCTGTTAAAACAGAGTATGGGTCTAAATAGCTTCCCTTGCCCTTTAGGAACTATTAATAATTAATTCTAGATCCTCTTGTGTCATTAAGCAGCTTTAGGGCACCTTGTACAATGTAGCTTTGAATTCATTTAGTAAATGAGCTCCAGAAGAACTAAAAAATACTTCTGTGTACAGCAAGGTCCAGTTCCTGGGGTTTTGGTGACCTGTAAATATCCTATTCCTCAGTTCCTGTTCAGCTGTAAAAATGGATTTTTTTTCAGTATTTTTTTAAACTTCATTAAAAGAACAGTAAACAGTATTTGAAGAGAAGCAAGGTAGAGACAAGTCAGGACAGTCTGTGTAACTTGGTTTCCCTGCTGTGATGCAAATGTGTAAAATAAAGATTGACCAGAAAGAAGTTTTTAATGCATCTCATTTTCTCCTTCTGAACTGCCAGCAGCCAAGCATTGATCCTAAAGTCTGCATTTCCCTCTGCTCAACTTCTGTTTCCAGCCATGAACATCTGCATCATGGATACAGGGCCAAATCACAAAACTTGTGTGGAAAACTTATTTTGAAGGGAAAAGCTTTCCTGTCAGTGACCCACTGAGGTTCACTGAGGTGCCTTTTCTTGAGCCCCAGGTATTGGAGCTGTGCTTGTATGCGCCCAGCTGCTCTTCTGGTTTTGTAAGCTGAAGTTAGGCAGTAGTTTGTGGACTGAGTCTTGAACAAAAGTGTTTCTCCCAGCCCTGTGTCTCCTGCAGTCAGGCAGACAGGAATGCAGGAGCATCCAGACTTGTTGCTGCTCTCCATCCCTGTGCTCTGTGTGGTCTCTGGTGTCAGCTTGCCAGGTGAGGGCAGGGAGCTGATGCTCTGAACCTCGGTGTCCAGATACAAAATAAGGATAGAAACTTACTTTTGAAGTAGTATCTTTGGTGGATCTGGCCACACTATCTCAGAGGGGCAAATCCTTGATCTATTTTAGATTAGACTGATGGTGATTTGGGATGTCTGTAGTTGTGCTCTTCCTGAGTTGTTGGGATCTAACCTTGCATTTCAATTCTGCAAACTGGTTGGGTTGGCAGGGATGAGGAGGGCACAGCATTCCTGTAAAGTGTTCTTCCTGATAATCCCCCATCCCTCAAAAGCATACGTCCTTCAGCATGAAATTCCTGTGTTCAAGATGTTTCTTACAGTTCAGCCTATGGCTCTCATCCTACCACCAAGGAGTAATGCCAGAAATAGCCTGTCTTCTCTACCCTGCACCTCCCAAGCAGGCAGTTCTGCATTGCCTCAAGCCTCTGGGTGGGTGGTATTTCACCAGGGAGCTAAACTATAAAAAGTACTTGGAATTTGGATTTCCTAGTACCTCACTGTAGGTTAGAACAAACTTTCCTGATGCAGGTAATTGCTGGTCATTGTACTGGAGTGGCCTAAATCTCTTTAATGCTGGTTTCTCCAAACTGAATATCTTCTGCATATTCTGTCTGCTGTGTATTTGGCTTTAAAACATTTCCCCCTTCTCATTCCCTGACAGCAGCTCTGAGACTCATCCCTGGAGTTGCCTGCACTGAGCCAAACATTCCTCATCTATAAGGAAAAGTGAAATGTTAAGGGTGGAGTGGGTAAGGTGGGACTAAATTGTGGGAACACTCACTTGAGAAGGAGACCAAATGAAGTTATCAGTGGAAAAATTGATTCCTGACCATTTTCTCCAAGGAGACACAAAGAAGAGCTCCCAGTATTTGAGGTCTACTGCGAGCAGAGGTCTTCTGGCAGACTTACACAGGGAACAGAAGAAACAAAACCAGAGCTAACAAAACTTTCCTCGGTGTCCTGTGTTTGGATGTCATTTTGTAGGTGTTTTCTTGCCCAGGGGAGGTAAATTTTTCTACCTGCACTAAGGTTTTTCTTCCAGTGTGTGAAATTCCCAGCTGTCTGATCATTTGCAGCCCTCATTGCAGTCCTGGCTGCCTGCTGTCAATGCTTTCACTTGAGCAAGGTTATCTTCATGACTGCAAAGAGCTGCCTTCTCCTTAAATCTGCTTTTGCCTTCCTTTGCCTTCTGACTGACAGGCTTTAATGAGGGGAGAGTGTTGTAGTGCCCTGTATAGCAAGTGGTCAATAAAAACCAAATTGCTTTGTACAGCAGAGGTAATAACACAGTTTGTTATTGGCACAGCTGATCCTGATATTGGGGCCCTTGGTAGGAGACAAGGGCTTTCTTCTGTCTTTAAGTAGTAAAAAGTGCATGTCATCTATTCCTTTTCTCCTCTCTCATCCATAGAAAATGGTAATTGGGGGTGACACTGCTTTGTTGTGGCTCTTCTCCCCTGTGGGATATTTTCTGTGGGGTAGGTGAGACACAATACATAAGATGGCTCTTTTTATTCCTGAAAAAAATTATAAACAGGCATGGGAGGTTGTTACAGGGGTGGCAGGTGGAATAGGTGAGGATTAAAATGGAAGAGGCAGTGTGAAATTCCTTTTGCTGCTCCCTCTTGGGATGATTGCGCTGAGCTTGGCAAGAGCACCCTTGATGAAAGGAGCAGTTAAAACATGGGTCACCTGTGAGTGTAGTAATCAATTTGGGGGGTTTTAGTCCCTGAGGACATTGCTCTGGGGTGCAGATCTTCTGTATGCCTTCAGTCCTGAGTCATTTGGGTAAGGTGTCACCATATCCCCCTGATATCCCAGCACCAGCTTCTCTCCGAGAATGCACCCACTGTTTACTGCGGGTGTGCAAGAGTCACTGTCAGTGCTCCAGCTGCCTCCTCCCTGAACTGCTCAGGATCTTTGTTCTGCAGGAGCTCTGTGAAGCTGGAAGGAATTCTCCACCCAGCACAGATGTGAAGGTATTGATCTGCCTCTCCTGGGAGAAGCCAAACTTGTTCATTTTGGGATAGATCTCATACCAGGAGGTGGTAGCCAAATTGGAGGGGCTACAAAGAACAGCTGCAGTGACTGACATGAAGGAATTGGGCAATGGCAGAAGATTACAAGAATTAAAGCTGTGAGCCTGACTAAGTGATGATTAAAGAAAGCCAAGAAGATGCAGCTCAGTACAAAATGGCTGCATGGGGGTAACCCACAGAAACAGGTTTGGAATCTGTGGACAGAGGCTGAGCTGTGGAGAGGTGAGATGTAACGAAAGCAGAGGAAAACAAGATGTTAGGAGAAACCTTTTGCCAATGAGTTTGGCTGCAAACAATCTCCCTGGAGAAATGGAGGCAGTTCTGTGTTGTTTTAGATAATCAACACTAGGCTGGACAAATCATTGCTAAATGCACTGCAGGGAATGACCCTCATCAGCTGTGAGCTGGATGAAATGCCTGGCTCAGCCATTTTCCATTTGCTTATCTCAGTGGGAAATATATTGCGTGCATAATTCCTGGTTTGGGGGGGAGGGAAATTTTAGTTTTACTGTTAAACCTCATAGATGCCTTGAGTGAGCCTGGCTGCTCCATGGGAGGAACACATTAAAATGAAGCTGGTTGGTGTGTGCCCTAATCTGTATTCTGAGTCAGTCGGGGTTTTAACTGTTACTGCAAAATCTCAGCGGAAATATCTGCTGGGATTTACCAGGCACACAATGCCCAAGTGTTGCCATGAATCAGAGCAGCCTTATGGGAGGCAACAATTCAAACTCTTAAACAGCAACAAAATTTGAAAAATAGGTACAGTTTGATCAGGTCGATTTTGTATGTTTGAATGTTTTTGGGGATGGTTGTGGTTTGGTTTTGTTTGGTTTTAACGATTGCAGGGTAGGATTTGGGTGGGCAGACATCACCAATGACTGCATAGTTTGCTTACAAAGCTTGCTCAAGAGACTTGTGTCTTGTCTTAAAACCAGAGCAGGTCAGCATCAGCTGCCCCAGCCTCCACATGTCCTCAGCAGACAGACCCCAGGCACCGAGGGGCTGATGAGCCAATGTAGGACTCATGGGTAATGAAGAGGATGATTTCTGTCTGCTTTGTGGTGTGAAGCCCACCACCACAACCATTCCTTGTGCCCTCTGCATGCTCAGAGCTCAGCACAGAACAGACACCGAGCTGCCTTCGGAGCAAACATCTGGCCAGGATCACAGAAGAGCTGAAACCACGTGACTTCCTTTTATTTTGAAGGTTCTTATAAATATGTATATTTTTTAAATGCTCTGTTCTGCTCCAAATCTCAGTCTTTCAGGTTTAAGGATGCTTCTCTCACAGATGTGGGGTGTGTTATTAAAAACCCCCTGCTGAAGCTTGGCAGCAGACCTGGTGAGCAGTGCTCAAGTCACCTGCAGTGGGTGGAGAGCAATGTGGAGAGCAGCTTCTCCAACCCCCTTTCCAGCCCTGAGAGTGCCAGTGGATGCTGCTGGGAGTCTTTGCTGCAAAATGCTGCTGCTGCCGCCTCTGTGAGTGTGATCTTATCTCACCCAGACAAAGTGCACAGCACTCCTTGGTTGTCCTTATGAGGAGCCTTTTATTTTCAGTCAGTCTGGAATCAAGCCTTGGCTCAAGGTGGCTGGGCTGAGCCCGGCAGGAGCAGAACAAGGGTGATTTCCCACTTGCCAGCCGGTATTTGTGATGTGCCATGAAGGAAGATCCACAAAACCTCCTCTTGCTTGGCTTTGTCTCAGCCCAGGGCTGCCTGCAAACTGCAGGCAACGGGAGAACAGCTGATGAGTTCACCACAGCCACCCTTCCCGGCTTCCTGCATTAGCATAACAATTACAGCCCCAGAGGCTGTAAAGAGAATACAGGCTTTAAAAAATAAACTAGAATTTAACAGAGAAATTAATAGCGTAGCAAATTGTACCGCTCAGCGCGCCGGCTGCGTGTCAGTCTCGAGTGACAGCTGTACGTGCAGCCTTGGCAAAGTTTGATTTTCAGACCTTCCGCTGCATTTGGCCATCATTTCAATATCTCCACTTCCATTTCCTGGGGAAAGAGCCTGCAGGGCACCATTCCTGCTGCTGCTTTCCCCAAAAACTTGGAGTGTTTTGTGTCTGTTGCGTTTCCCTGCAGCCATGTGATGTATTGGCATTAAAATGCTTGAGATAGAAATTAATTTATGGCAGTGCTAGTCATTAGAGCTGCTGGAGTCCGAGTTTTAGAGTGTTTTGGGTTATAAAACTTGATTTTTGAGGGCTTTCTTATTTAGTCATGTATAGCTCAGCTATCAAAGCAGTTGGTAAATGCCAGCACTGGGTGGTTGCTGTGACCTGCAGTGGTACCAGGGCGAAGCAAGAGCAGCTCACTCGCATCTCATCAAGCATAAAAGAGCTTCAGGAACACCTGGCTGGTGAGCTGGGAGCTGCGGGGTCCCATTGAACGCTGCTCATAGCCTGGAGATGATATTGTGTAAAATGGTTGTAATCTGAGATGCGGGTGATGCCTGGGAAGCCGAGGGTGTCCCCAGGACGAGCTGATGCATTCCTCTGCTTGTGGTTGTTGCACCAGGATGTTGAACTCACTCTAATGGCATTTTTTTTTTCCCAAATCCTCTGGAAAAGCAGCTATTTTGGTGACTTTCTGTGCCAGCGGTGACCATGGCTTGTCTGGGGGAGCAGCCAGCGCTGATGCCAATAATTCCTTTGGCTCTTTTTCTGCCTGAGTCAGATCGCTGAAGCATTAACCTTAAAATAGCAACTATTTTTGTAGTTGATATAATTAATCTCCTCTGTGTGTGTGTTCCTTCCCCATTCCAGGCTCCGATGCTTCACCACTCCCCTGCTGACCCACTCCTGCTTTGGCACAAGAAAACTCAGGGCAAAACTTGGCTTTTCCACCACAAAAGCACAAGCTGCAGGCTGTGTGTGCTCTGCTCCGTGAGTTCACTGCCACACTGGTGTCTCCAGTCACAGATTCCTCGCTCACGTGGTCTGTCGGTTTTGGAGCATCTTCTCGATCTGCTTTTGGGTGGGTGGATGTGGAAGGGGGATGTTCATAAGCTGACAGGACTGGGGGTGACACTGGCCACAAAGACAACTGTGATGGGTGGCTGGGTGGGTGAGTTTCGTGATGCAGTAGGAAAAAGCGCTCTGGAGCAGCCTGAAGCCCGATCGGACCCCGTGTAGCGCCTCGTCCGGCCCGGGGAAGGGGAGGAGCGAGGAAGGGGATGGGATGGGCTAACCAGAGTCCATCCCCTGCCTCTCTTCTCCCTTTCCTGGGGCAGCTCCTGCGTCAAGGCACATCTAAGAGTGCAAGCGTGCAACTGGAATATTACTGGCTATTACCCCATCCCCAACTTCCCCCTCCCCAAACAGCTCCAGCCGTGCCCAGGATGGGATTCAGAGGGTGCTGCGCTCGGGCTGTGTGACACCACTGATTTTTCAGGTCTGAGCACATCAGTGAGGAAGATGAAGGGGGAAAAGAAAAGATCATTTGTGATGAAGCACAGAGTGAGCACACAGATCGGGGCAGACTGCACCTCGCTGCTTGCATGCAGTACTATTCCCACGAGGCAGCTGCAATCCTGGCAATTAAATCAGGAAGGATGCGTTGGGGAAAACCCCCGTGATGGCGTCTGAGGATGCTGATTAAATGTGCACAGCCTGGTGAGCCCACGTGGAACAAAAGGCTGCGTGGCTGAGCCTGACAGACTCGCTGTGTCCTGGGCAAAAAGAATTCTGGTGTTTTATTTAAACACTTTGAAGTAGATACCTGAGGAAGGAAAAGCTTTCTGCAGACACACACTCGGCTGTGCAGCCCACACAGCTCCCAGCTTTTACAGTCAGAACGTGGAGCATCGGTTCCATCCCAGCCTCCAGCGCTGGCGTGGCAGGAGGGCTAACAGGTTCCTCTGAGCAGGAACCTGCTCTGACCGCGGCAGCAACATCAAATATCACCCAGGGAATGATCATTTCCGTGGCTGCACTGTGGGATCTGACAGAGGAAGCCCTGCAAGTGGCACGTGTTGCTAAATCAAAAAGCCAGCTCAGGTCAGGGTTGGGCTGGCTCTGAACTTGTCCTGCAGTTGCTGATGGTGGGAGACGTGAGCAATGCCTGAGGTCTGTCCTGGAAGAGAGAGCCAGAAGGATTTATAAAGCAAATCTGCTCTCAAGGACTGGCCTGCCATGGATTTTCCTCTGAGCAAACAACCCAGCTCCTTCCCGGGCACACTGACCACATTCAGCTGGGCTCGATTGTTTTGTGTTCCTGTCGCTGTTCAGATTTCAATCCTGTCATCCCCGGGAGTCTTTCCAGACTTGGGCTGTGTTTCTCTGCCTGTAGAAATGTCACTTCATCCTAGAAAATGTCACTAGGATTGTTATTTAAACAGTAATAGGGTTAAAGGTAATAACTGGGAAGTGAAAGTGACTGGCTTGCATAGTTTCCGATTACTTTTCTCCTCTTGTCTGTGTGATTTGAGTTCTCAGCATTTAGCATGGTGGAGGCAGGGTAGAGTTTTAAATAGAATTATGTCCTTTCAACATCAGTTTTGCAGCAGAAGAGCTTGTGCTGGAATGCCTGTGCTGTGCAGGGAAGGTTTGGGACTTTACTGGATTCTCAGCCAGGCACTAACAGGTCATACTCTGCACACAAAAGGACAACCCTGCTGCAATGAGGCTACAGCCCAGGGACCGCAGATGAAGGGAAATGCTGCAAAAATTGGAGTTTTGCTGATGGGCAGCAAAGAAGGAGCTGCACAGGACATTTTTGCTGCACATTTGGAGACTAAACTGGAATCTTCTGAGGCCTATGTTGGAGCTGCTGGCGGGCCTTTGTCCCTAAAAGCCATGCAGATGCTGGAAGTGACTGGGAGGGATGCTGGAGGGGAGACACGGCCTCACAGAGCTCTCACTGCCATGTGCTGCCAATCCCCTGTTGCTCGGTGCCATCCCTGCAGCTCATCCCCCAGGCTGTGCCGCTGTGGGACATGGTGGTGGTGTTTTTATCCCCTTCTGCCTTAACGAGCTCGTTTGTGTGAGGCTGGGTAATGGAGGACGAGGCATTTTAGAAACATCCACTTGGGAAATGTATCCCTGGAGAAGCGAGTGTCAGGCAACGTTTGGCTGGATAAAAACAATAAAGGTGCAAAGAGCAGTGCTGTGTCAGCTGTGCTCCTCTGTGTCCTCTGCAAACACCCCGTGTGTGTTGTGTTGGGCTCCGCACAGCCTTGCAAACAGGTTTTGCTGTATCTAGGCGGAGATTTTCCCCCTCTTTGGCTGCTACCACGGGAGTCCAGGCATGCCCAGGCAGCTCCAGCAGGGCCCCATTGCAACACAGGCGGGAAGAAAACTGTATTTATCGTGTGCATCGGCACAGCTAATGACTGCACAGACACCGAGCTGCTGTGGAGGCACAAAGCCCTGCATGGGTTTGAGGTGGGGAAAAGCCGAGTGCTGATGCTTTTAACACCTGTATGGTTTCCTGGCTGCACCACAAACCTGCTGTAGGTTGAGTTTGTGGGGCTTTTGAAGTGACTGAACTTCATCCCTCTATGTACACGTTGCAGACAGTGAGTGAAGGCTCAGTGGAGCCCTGATGTGAGCGAATGGTAGTATCACAGAAGGGTTTGGGGTGGAACAGACCTTAAAGATCATTTAGTCCAACCCTCTTTCCAGGCAGGGACATCTTCCACTAAACCAGATTGCTCAGAGCCCCATCCATCCCGGGCTTGGACACTTCCAGGGATGGGGCAGCCACACTTGTTTGGGAAACCTGTGTGAGGGCTTCACCACTCTCAGAGAGAAGAATTTCTTCCTGATACCTAATCTAAACTCTGCCCTGTGTCAGTGTGGAGCCATTCCCCCTCTCGCTCCCTTCCTGTCCCTTCATGACCTTGTCCAAAGTCCCTCTCCAGCTCTCCTGGAGCCCCTTTAGGCACTGGAAGGGTCTCTGAGGTATTCAGAGAGCCTTCGCTTCCCCAGGCTGAACAACCCCAGCTCTCAGCCTGAACATCCTGAGTTGAAAGGGACCCACATGGATCCGACTCCTCCACGTGGGGAACAGTCCCCTCTTCATCTGGAGAACCCAGATGGAAAATGCTTCTACAACTGGAGCTGTTGCTGTCCCACCAAGGTCACCCCCGGACTCTGAGCTCAGCCTTTCTCCAGGCTCTGTGCTCCCACCGCCAGCTTCCCTTCTCCTCATCCCCACCCCTCCCCTGCTGTCCATCAGCTTTCCCCCCCCACCTTCAAGGAGGACTCCGATTCCCGGCATTTCCCTCCGCGTGTTCCCGCTGATCCCTGCGGGGCGGCTCGGGATTGGGGGGGAGCTCTGGAATCCCTCTCCTTCCCGGGTCCTCCCGCCATTGGGAGCGGCGGGGCCGTGCCGGAGCCTCATTCCCATCCCCATTCCCATCCTCATCCCCATTCCCATCCCGCTCCCGCAGCGCGGGGCGGGGCGCGCCGCCCCCCCGCCCCTCCGCGCCCCCGCGGCCGCTCCGCGCCCGGCGGCGGAGGGCGGGGAGGGCGCGTGGAGCAGGGGACACGGACAGGGACACGGACACGGACACGGACACGCACACGGACACACAGCGCGGCCCCGCAGCGCAGCTCTGCGGCCAAACCCCGGCCAACAAAGCCCCCTCAGCTCCCCTCGCCGCCGCCCCCCGCGGGATGTAGCCGGGCCAGGAGCCCCAGCGAGGCAGCGGCCCCGCCGCTCCGTGCCCCGCAGCGAGGCCGGGAGGCGGCGGGCTCAGAGGCGCTGCCGCCACCATGGGCAAATCCAACAGCAAGTTGAAGCCTGAAGTTGTGGAAGAGCTGACCAGGAAAACGTACTGTGAGTGCCCGGGGGGCTGCCGGGGGGATGCCGGGGGTGTGATGGGATCCTCACTCCCCTGGGTCGGTGCCGCGGAGAGCGGCGGCTCCTGTGGGGCCGCTCCCGGGGAGGGCGCAGGCTCGGCCGGGCTTTGTTGGAAGAATTCAGGGATTGGCCTGGGAGGAGGAAAAAGCCCATAAGGCAGCAGGGACACGAAGAGGGGCAGCGAGCCAGAAGAAAACGCTGTTTTTTTACAAAATCCATCCTCCGTGGCCTATTTCTGAGCCTCCGGGAACGGCAGGGCCAGGGCCTCATCCTGCCCACCGGAGCATCGCGCCCTCCCTCGCCGCCCCCCGCCCCTGTTCCGAGCATCCTTCCCCCGGCTGCCCTGTGCCAAGGGCCCCCCGCGAGGATTGTCCTCCCCGCGCTGCCTCCCCGGAGCCCGGCAGCGGCTCCCGGAGCAGGGTGCCGAGCGTCTGGGTGGCTTCCAAAGTTTGGGTGCGTACTTGGAGGGGTTCCCTTTGTTATTGCGCTCTGAAGTAGAGAGAAGAGCCCGACACCGGCGAGTTCGATGTTTTTCTGAGTATCTCAGTATCGGTTTAATAACCTGATTTTCTGAGCGAGTGGCTTTCCCGTCTGGACCTCCACTATAATCTAATTAACGTGGCTGGTGCCTCAGCCATCCAGTTTTAGCAAAATCATTTATTTTTCCTGAAGGATGCACAAAGGAAACAAAGGCTTTGCTGGCTCAAGTTTGCTTCCCCGCTTGCTGGCCGCAGATATTCCCCAAACGTGCGGCAGACCTGCGAGCTCTCCCCTCTGTCATTGCTGCAGTCCCACGGCAGCGCTTACCCAAAAAGGCAATAGATTAGGATGCAGCAAGTTCTCCCATATGGAGAAGAGGCAATACTGGTGCATTGCACAACCCTACACGCGGGGTTGCTCTCTGCCGTGGCACAGGCGGGAGGAGGGCAGGTGGTGGGGGCATGTCCGCATCGCCAAGCCGGGTGTGATGGTAGGAGAGGCTGGGGTACGCCGGCTGGGCTTCCTCAAAGTGCTCAGGGGGAGGAAGTAGTGAGAATGTGGCAGTGCCAGGTGGGCACAGCCTGGGCTGGAGCTGAGCTGGGTTTTGGTGTCCTCACTGCAGCTGTCGCCCACGGCGAGTGCAGCCGCGCTGGGCCAGGTACCATTAGTGCTGTGCTGCAATCGCCCGCTCGCTTTGAGCCAGTGACGCCCTGATCTCCGATGGAGCCCCAGCACAGCCTTGTCTGCTGATGATCTCCTGTGTGCTGGGCTTTCTGCACACCTGGGGTGGCTCCTCTGCCCAGGAGGGTGCCAACACCATTGAGTGAACACGGGGCACACAGGCGGTGGTGCCCCATGGCTCACAGCTGAAGCCAGCCAAAGGCAGTGCTGTGAAACCAATGTCTTTGGGCACAGGGATATCTCTTTGCTGGATAAGGCCAGCAGGTCATTGCTTTTTTTGAATCACTTAATTCCCAACTTTCTGCTCCTCTCTTTTGGGTACCCTCCCCTTTCCAGTGTACCCTTTCCAAGAAAGATTGTGGTCCTCTGATCCCTCTCTCAGTGGGTTTCCAGTCTGTCTGGAGCTTTGCCTGCCTGCTCTGGACCTCTTGCTGCCTCTTTTTAAAGACCCCTGCACCTGTGCAGGTGAGGCAGCAGCACCCAGCAGCACCCAGCAGCACGTGGCCCTTTGCGTGGCTGGAGTCTGGTGCAGCATCCCAACGTGCCCCAGCAGTGTGTGGCTGGTGGTGTGGTGCCTGTCAGGGAGAGATGTTGCTAATTCCAGGGTCTGTTTGTTGATCTCTGCTCATTCCTCCTCTTGTCTCTGGGACTAATTACTTTTGCTGAGCACTTCTGCCCCTTTTCTGCAGCTGTCAAGGCGAGAGTGCATTCCCTTGTCTGGTGAAGCACTTCACAGGGCCCTCCCAGGCACGGCTGAGAGCCTCTGATTTATCTTTAGACCATGGGAGATTAAAAGATACCAATTTCCTTCCATGTTTTGCCAGGCAGAGGAGAGGCAGGTAGGAGGGCAGGGCTGTGCTGAGAACGGTGGGAGGAACTGATCCAGACCCCTGTGCTGTGGCTGGTGGAACAGCTGGAGCAGGGGACAGTCATACACACAAATCCATGGCCTGCTCAAGAATTTCAGGGGGCCTGCTTGGAAAAGGTTTGTTTTCCACAGCATGTTGATATTTAGGCACGTTTCTGGCAGACCCAAGAGCATTCCTGGCCTGTGCTGCCCATCCCATTTCCTGGCTGCCACATTACCAAGCAAGTGCTGTCCCTGCCTTGTGTGTGATGCTGTTTCTGCTGTTGCTACAGCACATCTGGGCAGATGTCTCCAGCAGCCCAAACTGATGGGAACCTGCATTTGTCCCAGGGAGGTTCCCGTGGCAGCGTGAGCCGTGGCTGTGGTACGTGAAGGGCTTCTCCCACACTGGGATTTCCTTCCATTGCATCATTTTCTGTTTGTATGAATTTCCATACAAAACAAAGCAAATATCAAAAAGGCCCCTCTCAGTTCTGCAGGATCAGAGAGAAATGTCACCCCCTCTCCCTGCCCCACACAGCTTTTCTGCTAATTTGTCTCATCCATGGGACACAGATGACCTCTGCTTCCCCTCAGTGCTCCTCAGAGCCTGGTGGCTTCTTGTGTCTCTTGTCCTCTCTGAGCTCTCCATCTCCTATTTGTGGTGTTTCTCTGGCCATGCCTCAGTTGCAGCAATCCTGGGAGATGGGAGCAGCCAGGAGAGGAGCATGGGAAGGCTCAGGTGCCAGGGCAGTTGTGGACAGGGAGGTTGAGCTGAGGTTGCTGCAGGGCTGCCATCAACAGCCTCTGTGAGCTGTGAGAAATGATTTCCTGCATGCATTCAGAGCAGGTTGTCCCAGGCCCTGCTGGGAACTGGACATGGAAAAGCAGGAACCTGGAAACCTCATCTCTTGGCTCCCCTCCCCACTCTTCTCCTGACTTACAGTGCTGGGGGCCAGATTTTAATGGTACTTGGACACCTAAAGGCACAGAAAGGCTTCTTTGGAGTGCCAGCTGCCCAAGTCCTGTTGGTTTGGACCTATCTCCTTGTGCCTTTCTGTGTCTCTGGGCACCTGAGTGCCCAGGAATACCTGGCAATGCCAAGCTCCACTGTCTGCCAGGTGCTGGAATAATGCTGGTGGGGACAGCCAGGCTGCAGGGCTGTTTAACCCTCCTTGGAGACTGGGCTGGTGCCACACAGGAGCCTGCAGGAGAAGTCAGTGCTGAGTGATAATAATACTGAATAATAAATTATGTAATTCTTCGTACTTTCATAGATCCTTTCATCAAAAAGCCCTCAAGGTGCTTTATAATAATTAATTTATTAGTCCTCCTGATGCCTCGTTGGGATAGCTCAGGGATGCAGTTTGGTGTTGTGTCCCACACTCCTGAGACTTGGAGGAACCACCATCCACCCTGGATCACATCTTCATCCATGGGGATTTAAACCTGAGCTTAACTTGAGCCAGGTGCTCACATCTTAGGGCCACAGTGGGATTTGGGATTGTGTTTAAGAGCCTTGTGTGGCCTCACTCAGAGGGTTCTGCTCAGCTGGAGATCTGTGAAGGTCCTGAGGCGTGACTGCGGCCTGAATGAAGTGTGTGAGGTGCACGTGTGCAGTTGTGGGTGCACAATACATGTCCTGGGTGGAAATGGTGTGCACTCCTGGGAGAGAAACTGGGAGAGAAATACAGTTCTGAATGTCCCTACTCACAGCAGCACTCCCAGCCAGTAACTCTTAAAATCATGAAGCAGCTTTAAAAATGTGCACTTGCTTCAGAAGAGCACATTTTAGCTCTTCTTTTTTTTCCAGTCATTTTGGGGAGGATTTGCTTTCAGGGTTCCCTTTGCACAGCTGTTGCCCGTGTCCAGAACCAGCAGTGTGTTATTTTTGAGGCTGCAATAGCTGAGCAATCAGGCATGCTCAGAGCTCTGTCGGTGCAGCAGCGTCGCTCTGGGGCCAGGTTGGGGTCAGGGTTGGTAGTCCCGGTGCTCCTGAGGCCACAGAGGGGCTCAGGTGAAGGTGTGGGAGCCACGGTGAGGCTGCCAAAATGACACCCAAGCTGCAGAGTGGGTGCAAGGAAGATGCTCTTTTCCCAAGAACCACATCCCACCCACTGTGATCTATTTTGTGGATTTTAAACTCACTCCAGCATCATCATTTTCTGCTCTTTCACGATAAGCTGCAAAATTGGCTCTGTTGCTCGACAGTAATGCAGGGAATTAATGGGCATTAGTTTAAGAGCAAACTATAAACATATTGATTTGTAGTTACAGGGGTACGTGGTGGCGGGTGGAATCCTGTGGGAAAGGAAAGGAAATTCTACGATTGCAGCATTTGCAGCCAGGATAATGGATTGGTTCCTTGCTGGCTGAGCCAGGCTGGGGCTTTGCTCCATCATGCCACCCCAGTGCTGAGGAAATGTGTTGGCTGGGGCAGTGGACAGGAGCAGAGGAGGGGCTTTGGTAGCTCCCCCACTGCTGCTGGTTTATTTTTAGCCTCTGAAGTGTTTGGCCCCAGGCACTGGGTTTGTCTGCTAGGTTGGTTTGTGTTGAAATCCCTCCTGTTGCTCATCCAGCAGAAAGCAGGGTGAGCTGGCCGGGTGGCTGTGGACCCGTTATCCCTCAGTGACAAATACTGGATGAAATTGTCAGTGTGGTGACTTTTAACAGGGCTTGGAGTGACAGGACAAGCAGGAATGGCTTCAAACAGAGAGCAGGGTTAGATGGGATATCAGAAAGAAATTCTCCCCTGTGAGGGTGCTGAGGCCCTGGCTCAGGTTGCCCAGAGAAGCTGTGGCTGCCCCATCCCTGGAAGTGTCCAAGGCCAGGTTGGTTTTTGGGGCACTGGGTCAGGACGATGGGCAGGAGGTGCCAGAGGGATGCCCAGGGGCTGGAGTTTGTTTGGGGCCTGTTTTTGCTGCAGCCACGTGTAACCAGAGCTGTGAAGAGGGTTGCTGTGCTGCAG